TGTTGAGTTTCTTGCTGTCTTGTTAAAATGACCAGGAGATGAGGAAAATCTTGGAGCTGATGTTATTAGTGGAGTCCCAGGTGCCTTCTCCTGCGCCTAAGGGCTATGCAGCAAGAGCAGAGTGGAGACTTGCTGTGAGCGCCCAAGAGAGCCTGCGTGTCACTCTTCGCTGAGAGTAGAAGTCACCCCTCTTCACTGGCCAGTGGAGCATCATAATAGGTCCTTTTAACAAGGAACTGTTAACAAGAATGTTGCTGATTAGGAACTTGAAATCAGGGTAAAGGAGCACTGAGATACATGGGGTGGGTGTGTGCACATGTGCACACTCACATGCACACATACTTTTATAGAAAAGGTGTGTTCTCAGAAGACTGGAGACCTTTGAGACAAGGCTCTTATAACCAAAGGAACTCTTGATTATAACAGAGACTAGAGCTGGATTTTCAAAATATTTTCCAAAGAAAGAAAATTCCCGGAAGTATAGGCACCTGTAACATTACAGCAGTTAACAGAGGCGTCTGTGCAGGCTGACTTGGAGTGTGTTGCTGTGTTGGTTCGGGTGCACCTCAAGTTGGGGAGGCAGGCATGGCATGTGTCTGGGGAGCGGGCTTGGGCTCCAGAAGCTGGGCATGAAGGAATCACCTCGTGTTCAGCTGCTCTTCTCGGCGCCTTCTCAGTGGTCTGAGGTAGGTGTCTCTGCTCCCTGTGGTTCAGGGCAGCCTAGCCTAAGTGCCTTTTTCTTCCTCTGGAAACTAGAAGTCAGCTCACGTCCTTGTGAGAACCAATAGGGAAGGGCTGCGGATGGCAAGCGAGTGGCCGCTGACTGCAGTGCCAGTGTCCACACTCAGCATCTCTTGTGTTCTCTATAGTGCTCACGTGCAACCACGAAGGCAGCAGCCGCAGGTGTGGCGGACAAGGAGACCTCCTGTCGGGTTCCCTAGGTGTCATGGTGCACTGGGCGCTCCTTGCTGGGCCCGAGAAGACAAATGGGTACGCCATGTCTGCGTTTGTCCTACTTTGAGATTAATTTTGTTAGCTGTTTGAATAGCATGTACATTTAATCCCTTGAAAGGTTCCAGATGAATGACCAGGGCAAAGGTTAGCCCTGTCCATGGAAACTGTTGCATGTACACCCGGGCCTAGGCCTCAGTCCCATCAGGCCGTGCAGAAGGGCCTGGGACAGCACTGGGTTTCACAGCCCCAGTAATTCTGCTGAGCGATCACAGTTAGGGGCACTGTTCTGGGAGTTCAATTGTGGACTCTTGTAAACCAAAATATTAGGGTAAAAAGCAGACAGTCTGAAAGGTGACCATGGTGGCTGCACATGCTGCGGGGAGGACAGCCAGCCTCTGGAGGCCCCATTTGTCATCTTGGCAGGACACTGCTGGGATGGTAATGTTGCCACAGCTGTGCATGAAAACCCGGGACTACACACCCAAAATGGGTGTATCTTTGTGGACTTGGGCTTTGCTCAGCTATGCAGGGCAAAGGTACAGAGGACTGCTCTAGCTTTTTCCTTGTCCCAGGGTATGCACTGTGGAGAACCAGCACTCTGGCCTCATTCCTCCACATCCTGGGAAAACCAGGCCCACAGGCACAGCTAGCAAGCTTCTGAGGGGAGATGAGTCCCTCTCCCTTCTTACCTGCCTCCACCATGTTTCAGAGGTGCCTTCCACCAGGGAATTTGGTATGCAAGCAGTTAAGCTTCTGTTGGCTAGCAGAGCCCTCCTCAGGCCTGGCTGACTTTAGATTGCAAGTTGGACTCTTAAGGATAAAATGTGGCCTACCGCGGCCACAGCCCACCATGCCCCTTGTGCTGCAGGCTGGCCATGTGTAGGCCTCTGACGTGCCCCTTCCCTCCTCCCAGCTCTAGCCCACTGCTGCTGGCTGCCCTGGGTGCCTGCTCCCTCACAAGGCAGTGCAACCACCAGGCCTTCCAGAAGCGTGGCCGCTCTACCACCACCACCGACATGATTGCAGAGGTCGGAGCCGCTTTCAGCACGCTCTTCGAGACCTGAGCAGCACAGCCGGAAGAAAAATGGCACCACAGACTGGGGAGTGCACCTGAACTGGAGACCTCACATCTGCGTGCCAAGCCCTCAGTGCCCAAACAGCCGGTTGCCTAGGAGGGTTTTGCCTCAGTGTAAATTGGTTGAATAGAGAACTTGGGAATTTGGGTCATAGCATTTTCTGTCTGGACTGAACATGTAGTTGGGAATGTTATGACACTGAGCAGAGTCTTCCTGCAGTTTTCTGAGGCTTCTCAGCAGGTGGGCTTTTGGGCTGCTGAGAGTGGCACTCACCGTCCCCCAGCCAGGCGCTGAAGATCTTCTCTCCCCCTGGTGGCTGCTCCTTGTGGAGGACCGACGTTCCCAGATACCTATGGGAAGGCCAAGTGTGGTCTTAATCGAGGCCCACCAAGGATGCCACCCTCATTCTTGATCTCATTTTTCTTCTCAGTGCTGACTGGAAGTTGTTGGGGGTTAACTTATTAAAGTGTTTCAGAATTATCAGTGATAAATGTCCCTTGAAATCTTTTGGAGGCCCCGTGGGAAGACCAAATGAAACCTGGGTGTTGCCTACACCTGGAGGGGCAGTGGGGAGCCCGAGAGGCCTCCAGCCTTCTCTGTTCTGCGCACATGCAGAACATGTTCTGCGTAATGTCCCCGTGGTGGATGACACCCCAGCACAGGAGCATGACCCAGGAGGCTTGTGTCCTATTGCTGATGTGTTGGACATCAGTGTCCTGGGAGGAAGTAATCAGGCTAGACTTTTTGGAAATGTCAGCCTTGCTGGAGCTACTAGAGTGACAGCATGAAGGAGGCCCTAGGGAAAGACTGATGTCACTGTCACTTCTACTTTTCAGTAATATGACTGGTCCACCGAAGAAACTGTTACCTCTGAATTCCAGTAAAAAAGACATTTTACTGCACTGTTAACGTTGGGCTAACGTGTTTTGTGATGTGGTGTGTCTGACACTCTTGATGTCTGGCCTCATTTCTCAGAAGATGTGGTCCTTGTGTGTTTGAGTGTGCTGAGACCTTGATGTGCCTTCCTGCCTGGCTCCTGAGGGCTTTCTGCACTTGATGATCACTCCCTTCAAAATGGTCTAGATGGGGCTGGGGTTGTAGCTCAGTGGTAGAGTGTTTGCTTAGCACATGTGAAACACTGGGTTCAATCCTCAGCACCACACATAAATAAAAAAATAAATAATAAAGGTATTGTGTCCATCTATCTACAACTTTAAAAAATTTTTAACAATGGTCTAGGTGGTTATACTGTTCCCACCCTAGTACTGGAACCCAGAGTTTTATACATGCTAGACAAGTGCTCTCCCAGTGAGCCCGAGCCCCAGCCCTTTTCATTTTGAGATGGGGTCCCACTAATTTGGCCCCAGACTTTCAGTCCCCCTGCTTTAGACTCCTGAGTAGCTGAGATTATAGACAGATGGTCATGCTTTCTTTAAAGCTAGTCAACTTCCAAGATTAAAAATTTGCTAGTATGTCAAACTTTAGAACCTATCTATATCTGAACTTTCTGGAAGAATTGCCTTGGACAGCAGAAAAAGCCTGGTGGCTGTTACAGCCCCTGGCTTATTTAAAGGTGGAGTTTTCTCTAAGCTGTCCTGAGTGAGGATGCCGGCAGACATCAGAAGACCGAGGATGGCCTGTTACCTGCCTGCAGCATTCTCACCACCACCTGCCAGCGTTGCCACGGCAATCACCTGTAAGCCCAGACAGCCACCTTCCAAGGAAATAAAACTTGCCAAAGTCATAGGAATTCGTGTTTTCATTACTTAAACTTTCACTCTGAATGAGCAAGAGTCCGTCCTTGAGGGGAGATGGGGTTGTCACCTGGGTTGTTTTAATGCAGCTAGCTGCACCCTGTTCTTTGACAAACCAATATACATGCACTTTTTAGTTCAGCCAAAGATACTGGTGCTGGGAGTGCCCCCAGGACCTGGCCAGCAGTACAGGAGTGCTGAGGTAGTGCTGGAGTACTAGTCTTCCTCCAGGTGCCCCCCCCTGGAAATCCCTCTACCTCAGTTTACCAGGTAGTGACTCCTGAATGACATGCTTAGCAAAAACCTGGGTGTCCAGTGCCTTCATGGCCACAGGGCTTAAATGGAGATAGTAAGCCAGGCCTTAGCTGCATGGAGCCATGTGCTGCTGCAGGCACAGGATCAAGAGGGAAGGGCCAGGAGAGGCCTGGTCCAAGATCTGCAAGCTGGGGAAGCCAAAAGAGCCAGCCACCTCCTGTCCTACTTGTTTCAGAGGCAGCTATGGTGCTCCACCTACCTTTAGCCCTGTGGGACATTAGCTGTGACTCCTGTGGCTTCCTGTGTTCCCCCCAACTCCTTCTAAGGACCTCAGCTGTCAAACATCTGCCCAGTGGGGTCCCACTCTCAGGTTCCTCTTATGCACTCTGGTTCTGGGGCGCAGAGCCAGCTCACATCCTAGACTGCTGACGACTGCCCAGTCTGGCTGTTGGCACTGTCAAGTTCATTTTTCGGACTTGCAGACAGACACCAGTAGAGCAGCCTCCCTTCACGTCATTTCAATACTGACTGTTATGGTTTAGATGAAGGTTCCCCAAAAGCTCATGTGAGACAGTGCAATAAGGTTTAGATCCTAAAAGCCTTAATCCAGTCATTGAATCATCTCCAATAGGGATTAACTGAGTGGTCACTGAAGGCAGGTGGGCTGTGGCCTTGGAGTACATATTTTGTATCTGGAGAGTGGAGTCTCTCTCTGTGGTTCCTGATCATCATGTGAGCCGCCTCCCTCTACCACACTCTTCTACCATTATGTTCAGCCTCACCTCAAGCCCTGAGGAACAGAGCCAGCTGCCTGTGGATTGAGATCTCTGAAACCGTGAGCACCCTGTTAAACTTTTCTTCCTAAAAATTTTCTGGTTAGATCTTTCAGTCACAGCAGCAAAAAAGCTGACTAAAACACTGAGTAGCCACTGTGGAAACTTTAATATAAAGTTTTCACCAGAAGCTGCATGCTTGTGTAGGCCGACGACTGCTCCTTCCTCAGCTTCCTGGCTTCTGGTGTTTCGTCCTGGGGTCCAACAGTTCCCATGTGGAGGTAGTGCTGCTTCTGTCCTAGAGAAGGGAAGTTTAGGTTCTGAGTAGCCACCCACGGTGATGGTGACAGCAGYCCGCTTCAGGATAAGAAGAAGGATAAGTAGCACCAAGTGCCTGGAGAGGCCTGCTGCTAACTTCCAGAAGGCCAGTGGGGGAGGGGAGGCTGAGCAGGACTGGGCCCCGGGCCCTGCCACGGGGGCTGAGGAGTGAGTGTGTCTCAGTGGGAGACAGTGGGTCTAGCCTGTTAGCCCTATTAGGGGGACTGCACTCACCTTGATGCTGATGCCGTGCGTGGCAAGGTCCTGGCGCAGTGCATCACATGCCTCCAGCAAGGGCCGCCTCTCCAGGAGCAGCTGTCGCCGGGCATCCCCAGCAGCCTCAGGTGTGGTCAGTGCATACTGCCGGACCTTCAGCCGGAAGCGCACCAGCTCATCCACCACGCTGTGCAGAGTAGCCACACTGCTGTCTCCTGAAATGCACTGAGCGCAAGGCCACACTGCAGAGTGTGCAGTGAACAAGTCTTCSTGGTAACCTAAAGCTGGCCCTGCTGGGGACCTCAAGGGGATGAGCCACGGGGGTCTGGCTCCACTCCACTCGGACGAGTRCCTGTTGTCCCAGCTGAACTGACACCCACTCAGGAGTTAGAGGAAGGGCCCTGGAGCCCAGCCCCACCAAGGCCTTGGGAACCATGCAGGGATAAAGCAGGGAGGTGGGATAGTGCCTCAGCGCCACCCTATCCCGTCATCTGAGGAGAGTCCAGAAGTCTGAGCCTGGGGTACTCATGAGGACAAAGCCGTCCACTGTAACCAAACGTTTAAGATGCTGTAGAAGTTGAATGGCTTACTGTGCGTTCATGTGCACATACACACTAATTCAACACAGAGGTTCCTGCACTGAGGGGTGCGCAGAGCATGTGCACAGGGTGGCAGCTGCTCAGCCTGTGACCAGCTGGGTAAACATCACCAAAAGTGGGGCTTCCCGTGAAAACCAGATTTAGAAGTCATGGCTCCCTCCACCCCCAATTTCTACCCCTGCTGTGGAGATAAAAACGAACCATGTTTTATAACTTCACAAAGTCTACAAAGCCTCATACAACCCTCAATCACTACTTTCACAATAAAAGAGGACATTGGTTGCTACAAAAATGTGAGTGTAAAGTAGTCCCAGACAGCAGCCTTGAGGTGGGGGAAGGTGAATGAGTTGTTTTGATAAGGGTCAGGCACAAGTTGGCCACGTATATTTTCACTATACAGACTCTGGAAAGCCTTGCCTAAAAATGAATGTATGTGCTGTAAAGCCCTGGTCATTTCAGGTCAGTAGAGACTTGCGTCCAGACAGACCCTGGACTCCATTAAGGCGAGCCAGTCTACCAGAAGATGGGCAGGTACCCGAAGGAGCCAGACTTGGGAGCTGCTATGGAGATACTATAGTCCTCTGTTAAAACAGTCAAAGGAATTCATAGTAGTAAAAGTCCCGAGAGAGGAGCCAGGCTCAGGGGCACAGAGGGCAACCTGGACCAGGGACCAGGCCCAAGACCCCAAGCAGCAGGGGGGGCTCCTGGGTGCAGGTCACTGAGCAAAAATGGCAGTCCCCTGTTAAATCAGTAAACAGCTCTACCCCCAAAGCCAGCAGAAGACCCTGACAGAGACTGTAAAGGCCTCAGCAGAGACGGGCTGCAGTGCAGCCAGAGAGGGCAGGGTTCAGCCCACCTTGAGGAGGATCCTGCACATGCGCAGTGCTGGCCTTTCTGTATTAACAAGAAAAGCATGTGCATGTAGAGTGTAGAAAGGACTCTGACCGGCTCTTTCCTCATCCTTCCTGATCAGTCCTGGGTGTAGGTGCTTTGGGGTATAGCAGTGTAAGGTAGGTGAGGAGGAAGAGGGGACCACATGGGGTCCAGAGGTGTCCGTGCAGTAGGCAGCCCCAGGGGTAGGATGACAGCCCCACAGGATGGAGAGCTCCTGCACTGAGGGGTGTGCAGGGCATGTGCACAGGGTGGCAGCTGCTCAGGGAGACTTCATGAGTGGATTTGTGGAGGGGCCAGGGCCTGAGATGTTGATGGTGGTCCTTGAATTGCAGTCAACATAGATGGATGTAGTGAAGTTCGATCATATAAGTGCCCCAGCATGGCACCCTACGAGGCCTGGCGCTGCCAGCTCACCCTGTGCTCCGTCTACACATCTGGAAACCCATGGCAAAGAAAAGGCCTCCCTGGGAGCAGCCAACAGAGCTGCAGCCTCGCGCTTGTAATTCCACATGGACATGGCCAGGGGCCAGAAGCTTCACTAGCCACAAACCATGAAGGCTGACACACAGGGAACCTGAGTCTGTGCTGACCGAAGTGAGAGGCCGTGAGTGAGGAGGACACACAGCCTCCCACTTATAGGCAGAAGCCCATCACAGTGAAGCCCGGCAGCCCCGCCCTCAGGAGGTGGTCCATGTGTCACCAGGAAAGGACACGTGGGCCTGGTTCTGCCATCCTGTCAGAGGCGCACAGCCAGCGCTGGGGCCCAGACTGAGGAAAGTCCCAGCCAGGCTGGGCCGGCTGGGAAGACCTCTCTGGGCGTGGGGAAGCCAGCAGGGTGCCTGAGACCAGAGGGGCTAGCGGCAGCCCACCCGTCTCGCACTCAGGCCAGCAGCTTTCTCTCAAATGACTTGGGGACAGTGTTTACTCCTGTAGGTGTCATCTTTCTGTAATTTCTAAGTCTCCAAACAAGACTGTGGCTCAGGTCAGACTCTGGCTCTGCTCACACGTCAGCTCTCAGCAGAGTGCCAATGAGGTATTGGCTTGAGTGGGTTTATTTTTTTGAGAAAAGCAATACATTTTAAAAGTAATACGTGAACATAAAATGTTAATTTGGCACTGTAGTCATCCCTAAAATGAGCATTTAAAAAGGAAAACGGGCTGGGGTTGTGGCTCCGCAATAGAGCACTCGCCTAGCACTTGTGAGGTCCTGGGTTCGATCCTCAGCACCACATAAAAATACATAAATAAAATAAAGGTATTGTGTCCATCTACAACTAAAAAATAATTATTAAAACAAATAAAAAGGAAAAACAGCTATTGAACCATCATGTAGGTACTCTAGAGCTTTTTAAAAGATAAAGACATACCTGTTGTTTTACTAGAGAAATTCCAACAGTCTCAAAAAATTGCTCAATGTAGGAGACGATGGCACCAAACACAGCAGGGCTCCTGGGACCCCCAGGCTCCTGGAAGAAATGCACCACAATGGCTCTTAGAGCAGCCTGAGGGCCGGCAGAGCGCACGTCAGAGCAGCCTTCAGCGGCCCCTCTGTGGACTGAGGACACAAGCTCGCTCCAGCAACCCCAGTCTCTTCAGCAAGCCATGCCACCCGGCATATGCTGGGCAGCTCCAGGCCTCGATGCACCCGTCTTTCAGGCTCCTGTGGGTTTAGCATGGCTGTGGGTAAGTGGCACCACAAGGCCATGGGAACTGGGCTGGGTTTCTGAATTTGAGAAACCCTAAAAGGTCTATGGCAGGCACCAGCGCAGGGGCCCTATGACAGCAGAGCCTTGTTTCTGGGAACCCTTGGAGCAGCAGAAGCTGGGGCACAACACTCAGAGGCCACCTGGCCTCCCTACCCTGGACACCCTCATGACCAAGGACTGTTGGCGTGGCCCCTGGTACTTGGTGTTGCCTTTAAACAGCTCAGTGAGTGCTGTGTGTGCAGTAGGCAGTGAAAGCTCCTCCGAGAACCAAGCACACTTTGCACCTGAAGAGGTGGCATACTCCAAAGGGCTGGTCCTGTAGGTGACCCTGAGGCCCAGAAAGGGTTGAGACCCTGTTAGGTGGCCAATGGAGTTGGGGTCCCAAAGTATAGTTTCCTTCCCATTTCAACCAGCTCCAATCCACCCCATTCCAAGCCACAGAGAGGGTTACCCAGTACCTATGGTGGCAACCATGCCCCCTGTGTGCCAGGAACCCATGCATGTGCTGTGTGTACTCCCATATTTACTTCTGGAGGCATAGGGTGCTGTCTCCACCAACACCAGCAGGAACTCCAGGATTCTTGCAGAAGGAAGGGGTCACTGGTACGTACCCAGATGCTGCCAGCTACAACAGACAAGTCTCTCCAGACAGCTGGCAGAGTTGGCACCTGTTCCTTCCTTATGAGAAACCCCTGACCTGTCACATCCAGCAGTGGGATGGAGGGCTGTGTGTCCTTCAAGTTACCTTAGTGACTGCTCTGAGCTGTCTGTTCCCATGGTGCACAAGGTCCAGGATGGTGCCAACTGCCCTGGGTGTGTCAAAGTCATCTGCCAATGCAGCCTTCACGGCCTCCTTGGTGCTGGTGAGCCTGAGGAAGAAGGAAGACTCACCTACTCCCACAGGGAACAGCRAGGACCTGGGCCTGGCCAGGCACCAACCCATGCAAAGCTCAAACCCCTCCCCAAGAAGGGCCAAGAATTGTACTGTGGGGACCCCCTCCTAGGTCACACGCACAGTCTCATCAGAACCTCATACACAACATCAGCTGCAAGTCGTGTGAGCCAAATGAAAACTCTCAAGTGGACGTGCCTGAACCCTTGGGTCTGAGTGCCCAGCATGTGGAGGACAGTGAGAAGTGATGACTTAAGATGGCAGCTGCCCCTCAACTGACTCATCACAAAAAGGGGTGGCTAGGGGGCCACAGGTCTCAGCCCTGTCTGACCTGGTGATGGTGAGGGGCYATGGGGGACCACAGWCTCAGCCCTGTCTGACCTGGTGATGGTGAGGGGCCATGGGACAATGTGGAGAAGCCCAGCCCCAGGAGCAGGGGAGGAGTGGAAGCACCCAGCTGCCAGCTCCAGGTGGGCTCACCACAGGGGCATGAGGCGGGCCAGGCCAGACCTGCCTGGGGGCTTCTGACACTGGTCCCCAGCAGCTGTGACTTTCAGCTCTGTAAGTAGGGAACACATGCCCAGAGTTACTCTGGCAGCAGGGCTCGGGGCCTAGAGTTGCCAGGACCACGACAGTGAGAGCCTCTTCCCCTCAGGATCCTGGCCAGTCACCAAGGACCCTCGACTGCACTATCCCCTGCTGTTCCAGGTCCCTCTCCAGAATGTATGAACAAAACCCTGTCCTTACTTGTGTCCCCTCTGTGACAGCCTCTGCTGTCTCTTTTTGCAGTCACACTTCCCCAAGAGCCAAAATCCTCAACCTTCGACTCCCAGCCCTGACCAGGGGTCTCCATGGTACCTTTCCTGCCTTCCTCCTCTACACATGGTGGCCTTGTGTGTCCCCCATATACTCCGGACACTGGAGCTCTCCCTGTCCTGCCATCCCCGTCTCTGCCCTCTCCTACCTGCTAGCCACTTCCCTTGCTGTCACTGGTGTCCTCATCTCCCTGCCTTTCTGCTGGCACTGGCCCCTCATTTGTTACTGGTGCTCTCTCCTGACCCGCCTTCAGACTCTTGCTTTGGCAAATAAAAGGAGGGGATTCTGGGTGACCTTGAGGCCGGGTGGGGCTCTGTGGCCAGCCTGGCAATGGTGAGCAGCAGTCATGGCCACTTCTGGGCCAGTGCACAAGCTGCAAGCACTATCAAGGGAGTAATGGTGGCTGCTGATCAGCCTGGCCCCAGTGACGATGCAGAGAGGCCCTGTACTGATCCAYGGGGAGAAGTAAACACTGTTTGAGCCACTGATATTCGGGCTATTTTGACACCAAGTACAGATGGGCCTCTCTGCCTCAATGCAAATGACCATCCTCTATGCCTGGGTTTCCTTCTTGTACCTCCTGAACCAGTGAGCAGGGCCATTATTACCCACGACAGGTAACCTGTACTCCTTCGTCCCCTGCCATGGATGGGGTCAAGGTGCTGGCTGAGCTCCAGACACAAGCCACCTCTGCACTCGGGCCCACCACTCTGGGCTGCCAGACAGCTGGAGCAGCAGGCAGTCCCGTCCCCACCAACTCCACCTGAGTCCAGGTGCTTCATCCTCCTAGGAATTCCTCTTGGAGTGTATGTCCTAGTAATGTCCCAAACACAGGTGACCGGCTGGCCATAGCCTTTCCTGTCTCCAGACAGAGGCTTTGGTGTCCACCAACCTTCAGTGTCTCCCCTCCCAGGATATTCTACCCACAGTGAACCCCAAGACTTTCACGTTTAGTGGATAGAATGAATATGAGCACAATTCACCGTGCAGAGGCAGCAGGACTGCAGCTGTAGCAGAGTGTGCGCCTACTAAATGTGAGAGCCCCTTCCTCCCACTCACTGTCCACCCCTTAGGTGAGGCTTGGTCTCCAGCCCTCAGCCACATTCCTCCTCAGGCAACTGGAGGGCACCGGTGGGCTGGGTACCCTCGAGTTACAGTCACAGAGTCCTGTGGGCCCACCTTGCTGTGATGTGCCCATTTTTCTAATGGATGAACTCATCCAACAGTGAAGTCACAGAGATGGGGACACCACTCTGCCAAGTCCAGGCAAAACCAGTCCAGGCGTATATGTTCTTTATAACCTTCACAGCCACCCACAAGTGACACCACAGGCCTGCCCAAGGCCACAAAGCCAATGAGGGGCACCATGAGCTGGGAGTGTCCTGCTTCCACATTGCCTCTATTCCCTGGCAAGTGGCCCAGGTGTGGCGCCTGGAGGAGTGCTGATGTCAGCCACCCTGGCTGTGGGCCTACCTTTCCCACAGCATGTCTTCCTTGACGGGGTCACAGATCAGCTGCCCCTTAACGTAGGCACGTGCGTCCTCCACAAACGAGGCCAGCCCCAGCAGGAGCTGCCTGGCTTCCAGCATGGTGCTGTCACAGTAGTCGATGGCTGAGAGGGAAGATGGTCACTGAGGACGGGCCCAACAGAGGCCCTCCTCACAGCACGCAGAAACSAGCAGAGAACAGGACACCTCCACCTCCGGAACTGTGACCACAGAGCTGCCCCAACACAAAGGCCCCCTCCCCTGAAGGACAGGTGGCCCACAGAGAACTTCCACTACTTTCCACCTTAGAGGCTTTGTTTAAATGATCGACGACGTAAGGGCAGACAGAACAAAGGGTTCTGGGGCGTKGGCCGTGCTGGGGTTAGAAACATCCTAATGCTTCCTCTAGGTTCTCTTCCAGCAGCTGGACCTTCCAGACACGAAAGCAACCACAGACCAAGATAGGGACTTCACCACTGGCCTGTGCTCTGCTCTCCCCAGATGCTGTCCTTTCCAAGTTATAAATGAAATACTGGGGCTCTCAGGCTCGGGAAGGTGGYGTGTCCAGCTCACCTGACCTGTAGCTGCTGCACATGCAGAAGAGCCGGAAGACTTCGGGGGAGAATGTCTGCAGAAAGTCCTAGAAAGGGAGGAATAAGCAGAGCATGTGTCACTTAGGGATCAGCAGTGACTGCAATTGAGCAGGGTGATCCAAACAGCAAGAAATCAGGAATTTTTATAAACACTTGTTTTGTCTCCAAACTTTCATAATCGCTTTTTTCCTGATGATTTCTCCCGTGGAATTTTCTTTGTTCAGTTTCACTTCTGTGGAAAAGACTGAGACTAAAAAGCCCACATGCCCTGAAATTCCTGCTGACAGTCTCAAGGGGCGATTACTGTCCTGCTGTGAGCCCTGGGGACTTGTGCCTGTGTCGTGAAGACACGGGGCCGCCTGCTGCCAGGTGGGCTAGTGACTGATAAGACAGTGCTGTGCACAGGGAGGGTTGGCGAGGAGGCACGGCCACACTAGCAGCTGGCCACACACAGGGGAAGGAGATAGTCAAGTAAAGGCACAGCCGACGTTAACAGTCAGCACGTGCCACATCAGAGCTCGAGCCCAGTGTCCCAATGAGGGGCAAAGGCCTGCTCACCCCAAGGCATGCTGTGGTCAGGACACACCAAGTGTCTCTCCAAGAGGAGACCATCCTGCCTCGGCTACCCAGAGGCCATTCACAGAGGGCCTGCCCGTGGTGAATGATGACTGCTGTTAGAAAGGACAGCAGGAGAATGCGGAGACGAGCAGGGGCCCTTAAAGCAGCCAACATTCAACAAAACCTCTCCATGTGCTGGTCAGCACTTTAGACGTGTTAGACGTGGGGCACAGAGCAGGGAAGGGAGAAGGCTCTGTCCCAGGAAAGGAACTAGGGTCTCCCTGTTTCATTCCCCACCACCAGGTTCACTCCGGGACAGCAGAGCTGTGGCCACTCAGCCCTAAAGCTTCTCACCAGGCCTCCCAGGCCTGCTTGACCAGCTCCCAGTGCCTCTGCAAGGGAGGAGCTGCTAGTTTTTGTCTCCAGATTCTACCAACCCCTCTCCTCACCCACTGAGGCAGCAACGATGTGGTGAGCCCCACGGGGGCTGTGGACCTGCAGTCCATTCGCCCTTCCTCCTACCTGCCACGGGATAACACAGGGGCCAACGAGGGGCAGCAGAGGTAAACAAAATGGCCTGGGAGGCCGAGTCATGGAGACCAGCTGCAACTATCTGATGAAGTAGAAAACACGGTCCTAGTACTGGACCACTGAGCAGCTCTCCCAGAGAAAGCTGAATCACGCTGGAGTGGGAGGCCTCCCCGGGGAGTGTGGGGCGGCCTCACCTGCTCCTGCCCAGGAGCGCTGTCCTGTGGCTGCTGGGCCRCAGAGGAGGAAGGAGGCTGCAGACTCAGCTGCTTGGGGCTTGGTCCTTCCCGAGGATGAAGGGGCTCTGGCCCGCCTCTGCCAGGTGGGCACCCCACAACCTGCCGGGGGGTTCTACTCTGTCTGTGCCTGAGGTGGGGAGCCATTCTCATCCAGGGTAGCACTCATCAGGAAGTTGTGGGGCCAGCCCCCAATCCAGGGGTTCCTGACCTCCTGGGAGAGTTAGGAGGTAAGAGTTTAGGAGGGGGAGAGTCTGCGTAGATGGTTGAATAGTCACACGTCAGTTCTGTCAACCTCTCACTGAAATGTGACATTTCCTTCCAAGAGCAATGGCAGCAACTGACCACAGCAGACGATCAGGGCCCTGGCACGCCCGCCAGGGCGGCAGACTTCTTCCAGCCCCAGTCCTTGCTGCTTGGTGGCACTGCGGTACAGCCAGCCAGCTGCAGGCTGTGGGTGAGCAGCACGTGCCTTCCCCCCTAGCGTCAGCAGCGTCCCTGTGACCCCACGCCTGTGTGTATTCATAAACGTCATGCTGCAAGGAAGGGTGCAGACACCGCCAGGTTGCCTGGTGTGTGTGTGTGTGTGTGTGTGTGTGTGGCCATGTCCAGTCTGACCCCCTTCAGCAATGACCCTGGGATTTCAAGTGCCACCTGTCCCTCTCCCATGTGCTCTTTTCCAAACTGTAGAAAACAACCACAACTCATTAGGGACTCTCCGTGTCCAAAGTGCCGTGCACACTGAGGCCGACCTGACTCACTCACATGCAGTCACATCTGGTTTTCAGTCCAACTTGCTTCCTATTTAAGTCCCCACATGTCCGTGGAAACAGGCTGCTCCCAATGCAATGCAGTGACTCAAGAGACTAGCAGAGAAATGAGGAGCACTGTAGAGGCTTCATCATGTGCAGCATGCCTAGAGGTGACATAATTACGGAGACAAAAAGATGAGGCTTAGAGCTCAAAACCAAGCCCTCCATGAAACGTCCAAAGCTGCACCAGCCCTGCCTGCACTGCACCCTGCTGCAGTACTGGGTCCTGGGTGCTGTGTCCACCGGGAACTCTGACCCCAGTTTTAACCCTTGAATGGTGCCTTCCTGCACGCCCCCGGGCCCCATTCACGGGCCATGTCTTCCAGAACCACCTGTCTGATCTTATGGTTTGGGGTAAAGGCCCTGGTGTAGGGGTCCCCACAAACATGCAGCACAGGGACTCGGGGCCTGGGTCTAGGTCTGGGGAGTCTAGCTGGCACAAGGCATGACTGTTCACTCACGTTGGAATTCCTGAGATTCCTTCTCGAGAGCATAGACATGAACTGCCTCAGCCCAGAGCCTCTGCCTCATGCTGGAGTGGCTTCCTTTATGCCGTGTCCGTAGAGCCTCCTCCAGCAGCTGTGCCAGGGAGTGTGTGTGCACTGCTGCTCTTCCGTCTGGCATGTGAGGCTACGAGCTGCCTACACAGGGGCAGGAGCTGGGTTTGCCTCCTGGTACCCGCCTGGGACACCTGATCACCCAGCTGTCGACAGTCACAGATGTAGTGGTGGCAATGGTGCTTGGGGACCTACGCCCTGAAATCCATGCCCTCTCCCACTCTGTTCACTCTGTGGCATTGGTGCTTAGAGACCTAGCCTGTTTGCTTTTATACATATACACACACATATATTTAGCTGTAGATCACCCTTTATCACTTATTTATTTATATGTGGTGCTGAGAATCGAACCCAGTGCCTCATACATGCTAGGCACGCGCTCCACCACAGAGCCTCAGCCACAGCCCCATTTGCTTTTTGCTCACATCGGTGCCATTAATCACACAATCCTAAAATTACAATATTAGGGAAATTTCATCTTTGATGAATTTCTCTAGTTTAAATTTTTGCTTCCTTTCACAACACATAACCAGTCCCTGTGTTTTCCGGGTAGTCATGTTCTCTGCTTCATCCCAAGAGGGATTCAGGAGGCTTCGGATGTCCCTTCCATTTGCAACCAGTCTCACCGTGTGCTCACAAACCTGTGGACGCTTTCTGAGACACCCAACCATCAAGACTGTTTCTTTTCCCCACTTGGGGTGCACTCTTACTGAGTTAGGTAAAGGGTACAAATAGAAATCCAGAACCCGATCTTTCTATGGCACTCAGTTCTATGGACTATTCCAAAGAGCAACACAGAAAGGGGGGTGATGTGCAGCGTCATTATGGGGACTGAATTGTGATGCTGTTCATGGGCGTGAACTTCTTACTGTGCCTCTGCTCTGCACTTACTGCTGTCACCAATTTTCATGTACTACCCTGATTACATCACACAACTGGCCACAGCTGTCACAGCAAACTGACACAGTCTGGCTGGAGAATCTCAGTGGGAGGAATGTGACACGTGGGGAGCGCTGGCCAAACTATGGTGACAGCAACAAGCCCTGAGAACCACTGCAAGCTCATGAGGTTCCAGGTGCACACTCGCAGGGGATGAACTAGCACTGGGAGAGTGCTCCCGTCAACCCCAGGTTGGAAGCCAGGCCCTCGGCTCTTAGCACTTTGTAGTTTCCCCTGCACATGACCCACAACAAAGGTGTTGCTACCACTCTAAAGAAGAAACAGCAAAGACTCTGTGACGTGCGGTACAGGCAAGGTCGGGTTCAGAGCTGCCTGAGCGCAGAGGCTGAGGCTGAGCTCCTTCCACACTGACTCTGGCTCCAGCAAGTTTCTGGGAAGACCCAAAATCTCCATGCAAACCACGATACGAGCCTACCTACGGTCTCCACAGCAATGAGGGTGATAGGGACTTTCTGCTGCTGGAACCAGAAAGTCAATTAACATTTTTAACATGTGGTGAAATGGCTTAAGGTCCCCGGGAACTACAGGTCCAGGGCAGATGCAGACTAGTCAAAAATAAAAGAGAAAAAAGCAAAAAAAATACATTCAGATGACTTTAGCAGCTGATAAAGAAACGCATCTTTATAATCCAGTGCAATTCAGCACCAAATTAACAAAACAAACGTTAATCTGAATACAAGTCTTCCAACTTGATGTTGGAGGAGACCTGAAAAGTGGGCATTTCCATACACTTATGCTGAGTTTACCAGGCTGCATCTAGCACCTGCGTCTAGATACAAGTCCACTTTGAGGCCTCACCCTGAGTACTGGTCATCAGAGATGGCATTCCAAGTCTGCAGGTTCCACACCCATGATGCAAACAACCACAGACCAAAAACGGCGGCTTCTCCTTGCCATTGTTGCCAGGGTGTGATGACTGCCCGCCTAACACTGACTTCTTACTAGGTATTTTAAGTATCCAGAGAGGACTGCAAGTGTGTGGGAGGCTGGGCTCAGGTCTGTGTGCACACTTGGCTTTTTAAGGACTTGAGCATCCTTAAGGGACTTGACATCCCTGGGGGCTCCTGGAACCAATGCCTTGTGGACGCCCAGAGACAGCACTAGAGGCACTTAGTATTTAGTTAAGGATGTGCACCACTGCACTGTGGGCCACAGACTCAAGGTCTCGTGGACAAGTCCACAAGAAGGAAATGAATCATGGAATATCACTACCGAGACTCGCTATGTGGTCATTAAAAATAGAGTGTCGGGGATGGGGCTGTGGCTCAGCAGTAGTGCACTTGCCTGGCATGTGTGAAGCACTGAGTTCGGTTTTCAGTACCGTCTATAAATAAATTTTAAAATATAAAGGTCCATCAACCACTAAAAATAAATAAATAGAATAGAATAGAGTGCCGAGTTGGCAATATCTACAAAAAACTGAAAGGCACATCCCCTAGCAGAAAACTTGGTATGATCTAAATGGCAATCACCAGGAGCTCCCACAAGGGGCACTCAGCCATTCCAAAGGATGAGCCCGCTCCACATGGCAGAAAGGGACCACGCCAAAGATTAATCATGTGAACAAAGGGAGAGCCAAGGTGCACAAGCCCTGTGCGCAGAGAAAGCTGCAAGCAAAGCACTTCTGCAGTGGGGCASGGTGATGCAGCCTGTGATCCCGGGAGGGTCACAAGTTCAAAGCCAGCCTCAGCAACTTAGCGAGCCCTAAGCAACTCAGCGAGACCCTGTCTCTAAATAAAACATAAAAAGGGCTGGGGATGTGGCTCAGTGGTTAAGCACCCTGGGTTCAATCCACAGCACCAAAAAATAAATCAATAAATAAAAAATCTGAAGTGTCACAGATATTCAACTCCCAAAGAGCCCGCCCACAATGGCTGCTCCAGGAGAGGAACCTGGCTAGGGACACCTGGCAGGAGACTCACCTCCCCTGCTTTACCTCTGGGGGTCTCCGCCACGTGCATCCCTGTCCTGTGTGTCCTTCCCGCACTTCTCTGATGAGATCCAGCACCTACTATCAGGAGGAAACACAGCTGGGCAAGACACACCGCTCTGCCTGCCGCTGAGAAGCGGGGAGGGGGAACTCACACACACACTGGAAGCAGTGTGAATGGCATCAGGCCTGTAGCCCCCCTTCAGTCACAGAGAACACAGAAGACACAGAGGTAAATGGCACCATGAAGAAGCAGGCAAACCCAGAACGTGGAATGCTCGCTGGGACGGTGGCCCAGACTCTTCATGAGGGAAGATAAAGTTAGAGTCAGCTGCACATCACAGACCTAAATCGGGGCTGGGGATACAGCACAGTTGGTAGAGTGCACCGCGATTCAGCCTGTGCTTGGAGGGGGTCCTGGTATGCCACGTGGCGAGCCGTGACATCATGATGAGTGAAAGTAAGCAGCCATGAAGACAAATGCCACGTGACGGCAAAGGAGCCCTAGCCAGGGAAGCGGGAAGAGGGTGGCTGCCAGGGACGGTAGCATGGGGGAGCGGGGAGCTGTCCAGTGGAGCAGGGTTCTGGTCTTGCAAGATGGAAATGTCCTGGAGAGCTGCTGCACACCTGGGCGGCACGCCTGGGCGGCACACCTGGCAGACCCGAGCTGTACAGGGATCACCATGGTCAGTTTTATGTTCTCTGTTAAAACCAACTTTCCTTAAATGACTAAAATGATTCAACGTCCAAATACAACTCATGAACCTTGACTGGATCCTGACTTTACACAAGAAGAAAGTTATAAAACACAGCTTGGGGACCAATGGAGAGATTGGTAACACGAAGAGACTGCTGCTGACTTTGTAGGTGTCTAGATTACGTAGCAAAGCATCCTTGTTTTTCATCGTTGCACGTGGAATAGAGGCATCCTGCTGTCTGCAATGTATGTTCTGATACTTTTGTGTGTGTGTGGTGCTGGGAATTGAACCCAGGGCCTATGTTTGCGAGGCAAGCACTCTACCAACTGCGCTGTATCCCCAGCCCTCACAGTGAGCACGCACACAGGCACGGGCACACTGGGAATGCGGTCCCCCAGAAGATGACTCCTGGCCTAAGGGTTTTGTGGAACTGCTGAGAACCAGCAGACACAAGAAAAGTTGGTCTGTCTGTTCCTGCCGATCTGCACAATGCACACAGGGATGCGCCCGCCCGTCTGTTCCCGCCGGTCTGTGCAGTCCATTCGGGGACAGGCCTGGCTTGTTCCTGCCGGTCTGCACCGTGCACAGGTCGGGCCTGTCTGTTCCTGCTGGTCTGTCTGGCCAGTGTCACTTTCAGGCTGCAGCCAGAGGACCTCTGATGGGTTGGAGGTGAAGATGCATGTCTTCCCCACATAGCAAACCAGTAACTGCAGCATGTGTGGTGACCTCTGCATGTCACCTTCAACTCTCTCTCCTGTGAGTTTGAAACTTTGATAAAACTGAAAACTTAAAATTTGAGAAGCATGTATCAATGCTCTTTCGAGGAGCTGTCCCTGTCAGCTCACTCAGATTTGATGGGAGGAGCATGCAGTGGTTGGGTATTTAGGTGACGATGCTCTGATGACTATCTTTATCAATTTATTTCACAATTAAAACTAAATTTAACTTTAAAGACAGGCCCAAAGACAGGGGTAGCAATCAAACCATCTGCACTTGCTGCCACCACACACTGACAGTCCCTGAGTCATCACCACCACAGTGTTTCCAGGTTGTTAGGGAGACAGGCAGCGCTGGGCCTCCTGAAGGCCAGCACACACCAGACGTACCAGCAGGAGATCCAAGCCCACACTAGCAGGAGGAGGCTAGCCAGGGACATGGACTCTAGCAAATACCATCCAAGAGCTAAAACTTACAGAAAAAAAGTGGGAGAAAGAGGTGCTGTTCTGGGAACGCCGAGGAGGAAGGCAAAGGCTGACCCAGAGGAGAGTAGGAGCAGGGCAGGCAGAGGCCACGGGGAGGGTGGCTACTGGGGCCTTGAGACCAGGAAGAGCACGGTGGCTGGGAGGAGGTGGCAGCGGCGGACAAGGGCCCCAAATCCAATGCTTCTCATACTTTTGGGGCAGCGTGCTGAAGCTGCCGGCCCCTCAGGACACACAAGCACAGTACCTTAATAGTGATGTAGTTTTTCAATGATTTGGACATTTTTTCTTCTTTGCCTTTTACGTGCAAATGCCCTGAAACAAAAACAGAAGCATTCCCTCTGAGCTGGGTGAGGAGACCCTTCACCCAGCTGTTGCCACTGCTGCCGAGTCACAGGTGGGGAGGGTGGGGGAGGCTGGGCCAGGCTGTGCTCCCTGGAGAAGCAGGAGAAGCCGGCCCTGCACCACGACGGCTCGTGCCTCCAGTCCTCACTCCCCCAAGGACGTGTCACACCTATGCTCACTCTGTGGCTCCAGGGACACCCTTGACACCCTGGGCGATGACCACATGGTACCCAGGACAATGGCCAAGCATGACATGGATGGCACCTTTTGTACTCCCGTCCTGTGACCCAGAAACACTGCCATGTCCCATCCAACACAGAGGACATGAGCCCTCTCCCGACAGTGAGGCAGTGGGAAAGTGCTGGGCTGCTCAGGGGACGAGCCTGTGGCTCCAGGTGGGACCGCTATCTTACATGGACACCCTCCCCGACTTCTCTGCACTGCAGGATGGTTTCACCCTGTGTGCATGAAGGCAGGAGGAAAGCCAGACCCACTTAAGGAACATTTAAATCTGAACCCGGAATTCTTCCTGACAATTTTATGGTTTATCTCCAAGGGAGGGCCCCACTGTACCTAACAGAAGCTTCTTCCTCTTTTTTAACACAACTTCAAATAATAAGGGTGTTCCAAGATTTGTGTTTCTGAAAACTGGTAAGATATGACTTCCAAAAAGATACGTAACCTTGAGCAGGTGGCTCTAAACAACATGTCACACACAAAAGCATAATTAAAATTTTAAATGTTGACAGCGTCTGGAAAATCAGACATGTCTGCTGAGGTCTGAATGTTTATGTCCTCGCCAACTCATGTGGAACCTAGCCCCAAGGATGTGTAGGAGGTGGAGCCTGGAAGTGAGGTCATGAAGTAAGGCCTCTAGGAGTGGCATTAGTGTATTAACCTGTTTTCTGTTACTATAATGAAACACCTGAGGCTAACTACTTTATAAAGAAAAGATGTTTATTTAGCACACAGTTCCAGAGGTTCAAGGCCATGGAGCTGGCATCAGCTTGGCTTTAGTGAGGTAGATGGCATCATAATGGTGGCATGAGAGGGAGCAATCATACTGAGAGACAGGAAGCCAGAGACTGGAAAGGGGCAGGCTCCCTCCTCTCATGATCCCCGTGCAGAAGCAACCTGGGTCCTATGAGCTGCTTCTGAGGCGGTGTCCCCTGTGACCAGTCACCTCCACCAGGACTCACGGCTTAAAGCCCTGCCACCTCAACACCACCACACTGAGGACCAAGCTTCCCACATGTGGACCCTTGAGGACACATCAAACCATACCTGAAGCCCAGCGATGCCCTTCTAAAAGGAACCGCAGAAAGATCCTCAGCCCTTCTGCCACGTGGGACACAGAAAAGAGAGCTGCCTGTGGACCAGGAGCAGCCCTGCTGGGCTCTGGGTCTGCCAGGGCTCAGATGTGGTGAGCAGCACGTTCCTGCGGCTCCACGCTCCCAGCCCACGGCTCGTTGAGAGCAGCCCCACTGATGAAGTTACCCTTGACTCCACAGCTCTGTCCTCGCTCCACTGAGGAGAAACCCTAGGAACCTGGGGGACTCAGGGACACGGCTGGTTTTCTAGTGTGGAGTCACGTTGGCAAGGAGATTCCAACTGAGCCAGTAGGTGCCAAGAGCCCTCTCCCAGCCACACTCAGAGGTGGCCTGGCCTGCTATCTTCTGGGCACCCAGCTCATGGGGACCCGACAGAAGCCGACAACGTCTGAGCGTGGGCTTCAAGGTCACCCGCACCCCACCCCACCCACCCAAGGGACAGCAGAGTGTCCGCAGAGGGATCTCCATTGTCTCAGTCCACTCGGCGAGCTGTCCCAAACCTGCCATGGGGGGTGCAGTGATACCAATTTCCAGGGCACTGAGATGTGGCGTGGGGACCTCTCAGTAGGCCCTGTGCACATCTGCTCTCTGAGGACACAACTTGGAAGTCCTCACGCTCAGGTGGAGACACTCGTTTGCACATGATCTAATATGGAGAACAGACACCTGCCTGGCAACAAATTTCAGGTGCCCCAAAGAGTGGGGTTTTAAATGTCCTATCCCCAGGCAGTGGCACCTCTCTCCTGCGTGAGCACCACTGAAATGGATGGCCATTCTGCTGAAGGCATCCGTGCGTGGAGCAGGCCCCATCACTGGCCTTCAGGAGCTGCTGAATTCAGGGAAGGGGTCAATAGTCGGCAGTTGTCAAGTCTGCGAATGACAGTCCAGGCCCAAGGCTCCGCACTAATGAACCAGCCCTTCCAGAGAAGCCGTCCAAAGAGGTGGATGCAGCAGTGTGGGGCCTCGCCTCCTCCAGGGAGTGGGGTAAAGGACCACGGTAGGAGTGCACTTCAGGGCAAGCGGCCTCCCATGCTCCCTCCCACCAGAATCCCACCTGACGCCTACTCAGACGACGGCACTGTAATGTCCCCATGCTCCGTCTCCTAACGGGGACAACCTGACTTCCTGATCCAAGCAGGGACTCACAGCTGGCATTTACTAGATGTTGATGTGTGCACCCCCAGCCCTGCCCCACCGCACACTCGCCTTCTTTGTCTAATAGCTCAGCTGTCCTTCCCAAAGGGCGGAAAACCTGGTAATTCTGGCCCCATGGCCTTTATCAAAACTTGAACATATGAATCTTCTTATGCATCAAGGTGAGTTCCAAAATCGCCATGCTCACGGGAGGGCTGACTCCACGGTGCTGCTCTGCTCTGAGACGGAGGCCGCGAAGAGCGGAGCAGACGCCAGTGTCCTGAGGAGGACAGGTGCACTAGCGACCATGCTGCAGCGCAAGAGGCAGGTGCCCCGAAGAGTGGGGTTTTAAATGTCCTATCCCCAGGCAAGCTTCTGAAGGTCTATCTAATGGTTTACTTGAAAGACACTCACACAGAACAGCACTAAAAAACAGTTTCCACATCCTAGTCAGTTCCAAACAGGTGTATCTGTTACTCCAGTCCAAGGAAGTTTGTGACTGACGGCTAAAATCCAAAGGTGATTTCAGACAAGTCCGTCTCCTATTAGCTGACCTATGTATTTCCAAATGTGACAGAATTGACAGAACAGAAAGAGAACAAAGTAGTTTCAAGCCATTACTTACCAGAATGTAGAAAATAATTTCCCCACTGCTCACACTGATGGAAGACCTCACACTGTGCAATCTCGTTCTCGTGATGGGGAAACGCTAAGTCCACCCCACCTGAGTGGATATCCAGCTGACCTCCAAACACCATGCTGCAAGATGGAGCAGAGCAGGGACTGAGTTCACGTAACGTGTCCTCCGAACCACTTCTCACCCCGAGTCCCTCCAGCCTCTCTATGCCACCGAACCCACGCTGTCAACACAAACCAACTGGCATGCTGAGGTAGTGAAGGCAGCAGGGAAAACTGAAATTTTGCCACTAGTCCCCAGTTCACAGCTGTTCATCCTGGTGCAGAGACTGAATTCTCTTTGCTCCAGGTTTAACATACTGTTAAAAAAAACTTACAAAATTACCTTCTCTTACTGTCCATAGGGAGATTTAGTGGGTTTCCAACTTCACCAAGAGCTAGAACTATGAAATCAGGAGAATTTTCCATTCAGTTTTGAAACTAACTAATGGCCACAGGTGAAAAAGTCCATCAGCCTCCCCAGCTCTGTGGCTCCGCTGGGCTCCGCTCACCCGGAGCCTCCGTCCTGCACACCTGCACAGAGAGCTACCAGGGCTGGCGGAGAAGCGAGGCCGGGTGTGCCTATGCTCACAGGAGGGCTGACTCCCGGTGCTGCCTCTGCCTTGAGACGGAGGCCGGGAACGGCAGAGCAGGCAGCAGTGCCACTCGGGGCCTCAATGGCACTGCTCAGGGACAGTAGGAGCCCAGAGTAGGTCTTCCTAAATGCTTATGGACATTTCCAAAGGTGCCACGGGCTGGCTGAGGGCCTCCTGCCCCAGGGCTCTGGCTCCACACACTGGGGCACCCCATGCTTGGGCCACCTGAAGAAGGTAACCTGGGGTGAGTGAAGGAAACCCAGAAGACACCGGAGGGCAGCCTTTCCTAGACAGAGGACCCGCTGTGTGGAAAGCCAGCCACGCCCTGGCTCTGGTTCCCCTCCTCCCTCGCAGCTGTCATGCCAAGGGAGCCCTTGCCCACCCAGGCTGTGCTGGCTCCCTGCTCCCATCCACGTCCTCGGCCAAGTGCAGCCCAGGGAGCCTTACCTGGCCATGGCGGAGCATTCGATGTGCCAGCCGGGCCTGCCGTTCCCCCAGGGCGAGGCCCAGAACACCTCCTGGGGCTTAGCTGCCTTCCACAGGGCAAAGTCACTGGCGTGCCGCTTGTCCGAGTCCCCTGCCAATGACAAACAGTTAATCAGYGGGGCCGACGTGAACCACCAAAGCCACCTTAGTGAGATGGCGTGTGCACATCCCAAAGACCCCGTTCCTCCTAACACCTCAGTTTCCCACTGTACACCTGGCTCTTTCCCCTTGAGGGACGGAGGACTAGCGAGTCTTCCACCAGGGGACGGGGCGACAGAGCCAGCCACCAGGGCGTCCTCAAGCAAGGCCGACCAGGGCATGCGAGCTGAGGCGTGGTCCCCTCCTTCTCCTTGAGGAAGCCTATTTGTCAGAGACTGAGTTTCAGAATAATTTTTCCAAAAATGTCGACAATCACAGCGTGCAAAGGAAATCACCCAGGGCCAACCACACGGTAAGGAAGGGAAGTCCGGCCGAAGACTGATGTTGTGTCCAAAGTCATGCCGGAATGGCACGTGACACGTGTCTCAGACTGGAGAACACCCCCGACTCGTGGGGCGCCCCTACACGGCACGCTTCCCACCCGCTTCAGGGACTCCTACAGACTCTGCACTTGACGAGTGCTGAGGTCCGCTCCAGTTCACTGCCTYGTGGCTGTCACCGCCTCAACCGTCTCCACTTACAAACGTCACACAGCCACAGCACAGCAGTGCCGCTGGTGGCTGCTGGCTGGAGAGCAGGACCAGCAGCATGGCAGGGCRGGGGCCACCCTGCAGGAGGTCGAAGTGAAGACAGAGCCACAGACAGAAATCCAGAGACTAGTGGAGAAGAGGGTGGCCAGGCACTCGGGTAAGGGGAGCAGCTGGCCAGAGGCCACAACAGGCCTCTCGGTGCAGAAAGCAATGCCGGCAACGTGAAGGTGGCTCAGATGAAACTGCACTTCCTGCCACGCAACTCTCTGTCCGAGTGGGGCCCAGAACCTCTGTCCGCAGCTGCTTAGCCGTGGAGGAGCAGGCCAGCGGGGCCACTCTGAGGGAGGCCTGTGCCAGCTCACTYGCCCTTTGGTTGCTTAAAGTGCTCCTGGTGCTCCCATCTGGATGCTCTGACGAGTCCCCTGAAGAGGAAGGGCCACCTTTTATCCAGGTCACAGGGTGTGTTGTCACATCAGGTGACACAGCAGGTGCCCAAGCAGTGACATTCTGTGTAAGACTGCCCACTCTGGGCCAGGTCACCTGTGTCCCCCCAGCGCTACCTCACTGTTGACCTCAAGGGGGCTCCACTGGCGCAGCACCCCGTGACTCCCCCTCTGCCTGTGAGCGCTGAGGCAGGTGTGATGTCGAGCCCCGGGAAAGCCCCTCAGGAGGGCGGGCTTCCTCAGAGCAAASCCCAGACCCTTTTCAGGGTCAATGGGGACTCTGGAACATGCCAACTGTTCCCGACAAGACTTCAAAGACTTAGGAAAGTCCTCTGGGAATCAAGAAGGTAGAATGACTCATGCCCGGGGCCCAGGAAATGGAGAGAGCTGTTGCCCTAATGACAGCGTGCTATGCTGAGAACACGGGTCACAGGTGGCGGTGTGAGGGGACACCCTGGCCATGGGTTTCACCTCCAGCCAGGCTAACCTGGAGGGGAACGGCCACCTGCCAACAGGCGTGGGCTCAGAAAACTGCTCCCAGAGGGGCTCTTCCTTCAGAAGTTCCTGGAGGTGAGCCAGACACACGGCCAGGGCGAGGGTGACGTGGGACGATGGGCAAATGGAGCTGGACGGCACCAGACAGCCAATGCTGAGTGCAGACCTGGGGCACCCGCGCTGAGTGGCGCAGAGGAAGGAGGCCTGGGCCGAGCACTGAAATGCAGCACGTACACTAAGACAGAGCGTTCCCAGMGACTCAGACACAGCCAGCCCTCACAGGTCACCTTCCAAGGACAACACTGAGACCAGCTCCACAAAGACTGTGTATGGAGTCACCAGGCAGCAACCTGTCCACACAGAGCATTCCACAGATGAACGAGGACAAGCTGTGTGGCAGCACGTGGAACCCCCCTCTGTGACAAGCACCTGTGCCTAGCACAGCAGAGGGGACCCAACCAGAGGCAGAGACCCTTGGTGCCCCGTGGGGAATAGGGACCGTCTACAAGTCTCCACCTGCAGACTGATAACCAGGGTAGGCTCCTGGATCCCACTGCCCATTACAAAGTCCCCACTGAGGAAAGGGGCCACGGGACACTCGTCTTGTGCACTRTGTGGGGCAAGTGAGGGAGGGACACAGAGGCCAGAAACACCCCAGAGGATGTGAATACGGAGCACAGCTCAGCTTCACCAGAGTGCAGGGACCCTGTTCAGAAAGGTGAGGAGGTGACACAGCCATAGCCCAGTGGTTGCTCCTAAGGGCAGGCGGGGCTGGGATGGGGTGCGATACACAGGCCCTGGGGTCTCTAGATTGGTGCCACTGCTGTATCCCTTCACCAGAGATGACCAAGGAGCCTCCACCCAACACATCACTAAGTCTATGTTATTTTTCATTGGGTTATTACAACAATTGAGACATTAGAACCCTTTTGCTTCTGAAATGACATATACTGAAACATTAGAATTTTTTTCATCCTAGGCACAGTAGCACACCTGTAATACCAGTGACTTAGGAGGCTGAGACAGGAGGATTACTGTTTGAGGCCAGTCTCAGCAACTTAGTGAGGCCCTGTGCTACTGTCTCAAAATAAAAAATAAAAAGGGTTGGGGTGTAGCTCAGTGGTAGAGTATCCCTAGATTTAATCTCCAGTACAAAAAACAAGAACACAGTTTTCATTGTGTGCAAAGATGAGTACATATATTATCTTTGTTTTGTATAAACTTATGCTATAATTTTGYATTTTCATATTTGCTTTTGTATTAGAAAACAATTTTAATTTTAAAAAGTGTTGCAACAAGAATGTGAAGCAACAGGAACTCTTGTATTCTTTTTTGGGGGGGCGGGGCAGGACTGGGGATTGAACCCAGAGTCTTATGCACACTAGGCAAGCGCTCTACCACTGAGCTACATCCCCAGCTTGTTTTCACTAAGTTGCTGAGGCTGGCCTTGAACTTGTGATCCTCCTGCCTCAGCTCTGAGTTGTTGAGATTATAGGCATGCGCCACTGCACCTGGCTCAGGAACTCCCTTTCATTGCTGGTGGGAGTACACCTGGCTCGCCATTTTGGAAGACATCAGTATCTTACAAACCAAATGTAGTCTTACCATATGRTCCAGCAACCACACTCCTTGGAATTAACCTGAAGCTAAAAACTTACATACAAACAAAAACCTGTGCACAGGTGTTCACTGCACCTTTAATAACAAGCCAAAACCTGGAAGCAACCAAGATGTCCTTTAGGGAATGATGGATTAAAAAATCTCAGTGCACCTGGACAATGGAAGATCATTCAGTACCAAAGAAAAATGAGCCTCACGCCTGGTGATGCAGAGGGAACCAGGATGCGTATGACCAGGAGGAAGAAGTCAACCTGAAAAGCTYGGACCACAAGACCTCGACTCCGGGACACTGGAAAAGCAGTGGAGGAGTGACAGACYAGCAGTCACCAGGGAGGGTGCACAGGGCAGAGGTGTGCAGGCATAACTGCTGGGCCACRCCATCTCTGCATCTGTCCAATCCACAGAACCCATGGCACTAGGAGGATTCTAAGCTATGCCCTTGGGTGACTGTGACAAATGGACACTCTGGTGGTGATGCTRGCAATGGGCAAGGGTCAGCCGCTGCAGGGGAAGAGGTCACAGCAACTCTTGAAGCCTACACTTAATCCTGCTGTGTACCCAAAGCAGCTCAAATAAAAAATAAAGTCCATCAAAGTAAAATAAAAGACTGCAGCTGATACTAGAATGCATAACTCTCACAAATCCCTGTACCCGGAAGGTACCCTAACACCTGCTCGTAGCCACAGCTCACGTGAGGATAGCCCCCCTATGGAGGGAGCAGGGTAAAGGTAACAAATACAATTTCTGAGAGTCACATAAATAATGCTACAATAATTAGGTTTAAATGGCAGTCTTCAGGACAAGAAGATAGTACACCTGGCTATCTTGGACAACTTATCTTTTGGKTTTCTGCTTGTTAGTCTGGAGTGGAGACAGTACATAACAGATCCCAGTGTGCTGGTGGGGACTCAGTACATGACGGGAGCAAGCCACAGGAGTGTCGAAATGTACCTATCAYGCCACGAACACCAAGAGGAACAGGAGAGTGGGTGAGCAGCTCGGCTCTCAGAGCAGGGCTGGGTGGAGCCGCTGCACCTGCTGCTGAACGCCACACTCCATCATCAGGGCAGGGCCAATGTCACCATTTCTGAGCAAGTCAAGGCCCAGCTCAGACCTTGCTCTCTGGAACCCATGTGAGGCTGAGGCTTGGGGCCCAGAGGGCAAGCTCGGCACCCACCTGGCTCTCCAGCAGGCCCAGGTGCCACGCYGACCAGTCTGCCATACTTGTCTCCTCTTGACTGCAGATCAAAGTAGACGTTGCCTGTTTCACGAGATAGTTAGGCATTCATCACTTCTTGTCTGAAATATCAGCATCTCTCAAGGTTGATATCTAACGAGTTATTAGAATTTAAATACAGAAGATGGCATCCTTCACTTGACCCCTTTTGCTGTATTTTAAAGCCAGAATTAACAGGGACTTAGAATCTCGGTCTGACCACACCCTGGGCACCTTTCATTCAGAGATTCTTCTTGCTGAGGTGTCACGGGCAACTAACTTTTGAGACCCACTGACAAACGATGTACCTATGGAGAGAGTGGCCCAGGGATAAACCCTAACATGAAGGACATGTCTCGGAGGTCTTGCTCTTGTCCCCAAGCTTTGTTATACAAATTCCTAAGCTAAGCTGAAAGAAGACCACAATGAACGCCTGTACACCTCCCATAGATTCCAAACTGGTACAAGACCAGCTCTCCAGGCCCATCTTCTCCTGGGGTAGGGAAACGAAGAGTTTTGTGGAGAGACGCACACAGTGGGAAATCCCAGAACTTTTTTTTTGCAATGTGGGGGATTGATAGGCATGTGCTCTACTGAAGAGTTACAACCCAGACCAAGCCCAGCACAGTTTTGCTGCAGGACAGACAATATAGCACTCAGCCTATTCCACAACTTGGATGTGTCCAGCTTCTTGAACCCCGACAGCATTACTCAGTGACCAGTTCTGATAACATAAAGCCTACCTTTTACTGTTGGATAGGCACACCCACGAGCAATTATTCCTTCAATGAAYGAGATTATCTGAGGAATGTTTTCAGTTACTCTCAAGTACACTGTTGGAGGGAGAACCTGGAAGAAAGCAGAGACACAACCATGTTGCCCTCATCCTAAATCACAGCATAGGGTTCAGCGCGACCTAACCACAGCCATGCTTGAGTCATAACTCCATGACTGCCTCAGAGCAGCCCCAGTCGGTTTTGCCCGAAGTTTCCCAGCAGAGTATAGACCGACAAAGCCGTAAGTGGTGTGTGGGACTTTGCAACTGGACCCTGGCACCAGGAACTCTATTAGTTTATGATCAACCAGGTCCACTCTAACCAGGATGAAGTCACTTTTGTCCTAATCCATAAATATGCCCCTTTCTGACCCAAATTGCACGAATCCAACTCATCCTACTGCTGCACAGGATCGTGCTGCTGCCTGTAAGCCCCAGCGAACTGCACCCTGTGCGGTCCTGGGTCTGTCGGCCTCCTTCAGTCTCACAGTGGCACACTGGGACCAGCCTCATACACTCTGACTGGACTGCTCTGGAACACATGGGTCAGCTACTGCTGCCCTTCACAGTCCCAGCATACTTTCCTCATGGGAAGAAAAGCCAACCACACACTTTACCTTCAGGGCTGCCATGTCCTGCTTAAACTCTTCCTCATACAGACTGGCCAGTGAAGCAGGTGAYACCTTCATCTGCAGAAGGACCAGATGAGCATGTTAGAGCCCAAGACCCCACTGGAACCACAGAGGCAGGCGCCCCACAAATGCACTTCTCCACACCAAAGGCCTSCTGGGGTGGATGAGGCCACCAAAGCCCACYGGGGGGAGGGACTGCGTGAGCAGGGCTGGGTCCAGAGGGGCATTGATTCCAGGTCCTACACTTGCACCAGGAGCTTAGCTAGTTGAAGGCTTACTGACCTTGTTCTCTGGTTAGAGAAAAGAAGAAAGGAACAGTGTCACAATTTCCATGATATAAGAAACAAACAAACTCCACTYCTCCAAAACAGGGCAGAGCCAGATCTAGTCTTCTTGTGCACGTGCTGCTGGGCTGGGGCCCAGCCGCACCMTGTGGGCAGGCGCTCTGCCATCGAGAGGCAAAGCCCCTCTTTGCCTTCAGGAGGAAAGACGTGATCAGAAACACATTTGAGAGGAGATCCCTACAGAAACATCTTGAAAGTAATTCAACATACTAATCAGGGGTACCGAAGCCCTGAGGTCATGTGGCTAGACTCCTGGGAATGGAGGGGGCCACCAAAGGCCACCAAAGCAGCATGTTGCACCTTGAATGTTGGGTGCATTTGGGGCACAGGCCTGTAGCTCCTGCCAGATTTTCACAGAAGGCTGGACCTGGACTCATCTAGGTGTGTCACTGTCCAACAGGGACACGCCATGAACAGAGGCTCCGAGGCTGCCGGCCTCACATGTGCACCACAACATGCCGCCTCTGTCACATGCTAGGCTTGCCTCTGACCTGCTCTGTGAATAGGCCTCCTCTCCTTGTGGGTGAAGATATTTCTGCTCCAGAGCATTAAGAATCATCTTTCTCAAGTTTCTCAATGCCACACCTGAGGCTGGGCAGCCACATCACCTGAGGCCTGTGTTCCTCCTTCCCAGGGCTCTGAGAGGGTACCATCATCCCAGAAACCAGACCAGTGAGGACTCACTGAAGAACCGAGAGCTGCTCAGCCGGCTGTCCTTTCAGCCCCGTGTGCTTGGCAAATCAACAAGCTAAACCTCGCAGCCTTTGCTTTCTCTGAAACGTGGAAATACCCCACCCAGTCATCCCCCAGACCACTCTGAAGCCTCGCTATGTACTTGGTTAGGACGGCCCTGTGAGGAGAGAACACAGGGCTGGGGTGTAGCTCAGGGCTGCAGCACTGGCCCAACATGGTGAGGCTCTGGGCTCATCCCCAGCACTGCAGACAACCAAACAGAAAACACAGTAGCACCACCATTAAAAGACAGCAAGAACTCAGCACCTAGCACCAGGCATAGTCCTGCTYCTGAGGCACAGTTCTGTGGCGAACACAAACCATTTAGTAAAGAAATAGGTTAACATACTCACCCAGAGGATGAGACCAAACAAAAATATGTTTTTTTGCCACATCGGAAGTTTCAAGTACTATGTGATTTTGGACATTTCTAATGTCTTCTTCTGCATAGACAGACTCCTGGCTTCTCCTAGCAGCACACGGCCCAGATCTCTGCACTGCAGACAGAGCTACACTGTGCTTTGCGAAGGCTGCCTGTACCCCATCTCCCAGGTGTGTGGTAGCTACTTAACCCATCCCTGCAGAAGGGCAGTCTCAACTTTGCTGTTACAAACGCAGCCACACACATCTCACAATACCTGCCCCCAACTGTCTCTGAGCTGTACACCTGGATGGGAARTGCTGGTCAGAGGGAGCATGCACACATACTTGACTGGCCATTGCCAAACTGCCCACTGTGGGAATTACTACTGACACCTGACCAGCAACACCAAGGTCATCTCCTTCCCGCACCCTCACCAGCACAGTGTTGGCAAACTTCTAGACTCTGTCCCTGTAACACCCAAAGGCTTTTCTGTTATAATTGTAATTTAAACTAATTTTATTTAGAGTGAGTTAGAATATCTCACATGTTTAGGAACCATTCTTATTTAATGACTTCTAACTCCCCTGTTCATTTTTCTATTGAGTTGTGGTCTTTTTCTTATTGATTTGTAGAAAGTAATTTTATATAAAAGAAGTTAACCTTTTATCTGTGATATAAGTTTCAACTTTTTTCAACGTTAAGGTTATGGCATGTAGAAGCTTTTATTTTTACATTTTGTAATTTTTTATATTTCTGAATCTTTTCTCAGAAGTGGCTTCTGGGTTTGGAAAAACTGGGAAAAGCCTTCCCCTACTTGAGGCTCTAGGAGTGTCCTGGGGTCTCTTACAGTAATCTGTGGATCCATTCCTTTTAAATTTAAATGTTTGATCTGCCTCAAATTTGGCTTGTTTGGTATATTTTGTTCTCCAGATGGCTAACCAACTGTCAACACTTTTTAATGAATAGTCTACCTTTTCCCCTATGGGTCTGAAATGCCATCTTTTATCATACAACAGGTCCCCCTTAATTATTGGGCCTGTGTGTGGACTGTCTCGTGGGGTCCACTGCTTGTTTTCTCAGGGTCTGTACAATATGACTTTCAGAGCCTTGACAGGGACAGAAGGCAGGTCAGGGGCTGCTGGGGCAGTGGGCGGGAGGCAGACGGAATTCGGGTCACTTGGGGTTAAAGGGCCATGTGTCCACAGAGCACACCATCTCCACATCCATCCCAAACGCAGCTCACTACAGGCCAGTCATGCAAATAAATAAATAAATTAAATAATAATAATAATAAATGGAAACAGAACATTCTCCTCGGCGTTTAACTGTTTTCATATGGTGGGACCACTCCTCAGCATTCTTCTTTGAGTCTTTGTACTCCTGCTGTTTTTGCTGCTCCACATAAACTGGGTGTCCACTCACCTAGTTTGACGGGACCACTGTGCACACAGACACCAGGGACACCTGCACTGAGAGGCTCACCAACTACTGTCCACACCAGCAGCTCGCCCTGTCCACACAGGGGCACGCCGGCTCAGGAGCCCAGCCCCGGGAACCTGTCCACAGAGAACATCCACACGAATGCCACTCGACTGCTGTGAGCTCAAGGAGGGAAGCACACTCTAAAAGTCGAGCCACTGAATTTAATTTTCTTTGTGTGTCCCAAAGCACTCTACCACTGAGCCACTCCACCACAAAGTTCAACTTCTGGGCAGCTAGTCACGCCACATGTTGGCACAGAACTGCTCTCTCACTGTGACAGGATCCCAGACAATGCTGACATGGGGACATGTCCTTGTTACGTTGAGTTATTTCCTAGCTGTCCCTCATCACCCCRGGGCACTTCAAGCTAGAGCTCTCCCCCACAGGGAACTCTGTTATGCTGGGCCCTCTGCACTCAGACTGAGCCTCAAGATGTTCTAGAACAGGGGCTGGGGATGTGGCTCAAGCAGTAGCGCACTCGCCTGGCATGCGTGTGGCCCGGGTTCGATCCTCAGCACCACATACCAACAAAGATGTTGTGTCTGCCGAAAACTTAAAAATAAATATTAAAATTCTCTCTCTCAAAAAAAAAAAAAAAAGCTGCCAAAAAGATTCATTAAAAAAAAAAAAAAAAGATGTTCTAGAACAATCCACCTTCTTCCCAGGAAGCATGGGGCGCTATTTCTAGGCGAGAACTACAATAGAGTCCCCTTATCCTAAAGCAAAGAGAGCGAGGGCTTGAACCATGGAGACAGCTGGAGACGGCCGAATGACTCTCTCAGCCTGAATGCTGCCATGCAGATGTGCCAGGCCTCTTGACTCCTACTGCAGACCTATTTGAAATCTGTGGGCTTAGCCCTGACAAACTGAAAACACACGCCAGGAATTAAAGTCAAGGGAACAACTCAGAAAGGTGTGATGTTGCAGCTGGGCATGGTAGCACGTGCCTGTGATCCCAGATACTCAGGAGGCTGAGGCAGGAAGATATCAAGTTTGAGGCTAGCCTGGGCAACTCATGAGACCCTGTCTCACTTTTTTTTTAATGAAATCTTTTTTTTAACGGCATGTAGTTCGATGGTAAAGCACTTGCCTAACATGTGTGAGACCCTGGTTCAGTCCTACTACCTCCCCACCCCAAAACATGTAATGTTGTGATTTAAAATATTTTTAAAACAAGTCTTGGCGCAGAGGGCATGAAGACATCAACCATCATGACAAACCTGCACTAGAAGCAGCCCAAGGACAGGGACGAAACCAGCGTGGTGACCCTCACAGCCACACTGCTCTGCTTCAGAAAGGAGGAGCGCTGACCCAGGCGAGGACGAGCGTGAGGCCGTGATGCTCTGCAAAGTGAGCCACTGCCAAGGGACAGACGCTGCCAGTGCCACGCATGGGGAGTCCACAGAGGCGGGGGGGGGGGGGCTCCAGGGGCTGGGGGAGGCCAGGGAGTGAAAGACAAGTGCGCTCTGGACAGGATGGCAGGACGGTGCTCACAGGGTCAAGGTGCTGCTGCCGGTGACCCCACACCCAGCTAAAGGTCGTGTTACGTTACTAAAAATAGGAAGAAAACAAAAAAGTCATTTTGCCTTCAAAAAATCTGCATTGGGGCTGGGGTTGTTGGCACGAATGAGCCAGGGGTTCAATCCTCAGCACCACGTAAAATAGAGGTACTGTGTCCATCTACAACTAAAAAGCACATAAAGACAGTCTGCATCCGATTTTCTCAAAAATCTGCAGACTAACTGCAGGAACAGTACAAAGACTGCCCACCCCCTGCCAGGATTTTTGCTGAACACTGAAAAACATGTCCTCCTAAGCATGGTTTCAGATGTGATTACTATATAGAAGTGGGGTGCTATTTCTAGGCGAGAACTACAATAGACTCCCCTTATCTATGCGGACATGTTCTAAGACCCCCAGTGGATGTCTGGAATCACAGTATACTGAGCCCTGTGCATACTGTGGCTTTCCCTACATGTACACACGTATGGCAAAGTTTAATTTGTGATTTTCCCTACATGTACATACATATATTAGAATTTAATTTATATATTAAACAAAGTAAAAGGTTTGTAGCGACAAATGAGGATACAATACAACTGTTCTCACAGCTTCTCTCTGACACACCAAAGTGTTCTTGGCTTTGAGGCCATGGCTGAACACAAGTTGCAAGCCCCTGTCAGTCTATCTAATGGGCAGACGGCAGGTGAGCGCAGGTGGAGCATGGGGGCGCTCCAGTCATGCTCCCCAGAACACTGCACAAGCTAAAACTGGTAAATCATTTATTTCTGGAATTTTCAATTTAAGATCTTAGACCACAGCTGACCATGGGTAACTGACACCTTGGAAAGAGAAACTGAGGACAGGGAGGAATACGGCAATCTGTTATAGCAGCACAGAATGGACCAAGACAGACAGCTTCCAATCAGCCAGACTTCAGGGAAGTCCCACTCTGGAAGACTACTAGGAATATGTGCTCTATTAAACCCAGGCAAGCCCCACCCCCAGATCCAGCAGGCAGTCTGCAGAAGCACTGCAGAGGAGGGCACTTTGCCTGTCCAGGGGGCTGGGCTAGGCGAGGGCTCCAGTGAGCCTCTCCACTTGTCACAGTGGAGTTCCCACTGTGACAAGTATTTGCACCAGCACTGAAAGGCAAAGGTACTGAAAAACTATCCTAAGATAACTGTTCACAAAAATATGAGGTCAGCTYCACTGATGGTCTTCATCAGACTCAGGAGGGATGGGTGCTGTGCTGTGTGACAGCACTACCAGCCACTCACACCATCATACCAGTAGGCACAGTGTTCCGAGGAGGCAGAGGGAACACATTCCTGATTCCCAGCAGCAAGGAATTCAGAAAAGACAAAGTCGAGGGCCCACAAAGCCCTCTGGCAGAGGTGATATGCAGGACACAGCACCCCCAGCCACCCAGGAGAGCTCAGGGAGGTTCCCAACCCTCCGCCTGTCTGGCAAGGATATTCTCACCCACCAAGTCTTTTGAGGCTCTGACAGGTGTGGAACCAGACCTTGTTGGGGCCCTCAACCTGAGCAGGAAAGACATGCTTGCTGCCAATGCCTCAGTACCTGAGCATTCACACCTGCAAKGCCCTGCTGGAAGGGCCTGCAGCCAGAAGCCCTGGGCCTGTGGCCCTGACCCAAAGTCTACACAAGATGCAGACTCTCCCATACTCCCTACCCTTCCCTGTAAAATGTAGAAATGTCCTTCAAAATGAAAGTCCTATCATGTTTGAGACTGTCAAGGATGTAAGATAAAGAAGGGGTGAAGACCAAGGACCTTTACAGGCTGAGGGAAACTCGGACGCAGGAACTAAAGGGTAGAAGATTCCAGAAGGGTCCTAGACCAGAAGAGAAAGGAGGCACTGCAGGGATGGAGATGACCCTGGGATGGGCCTGTGGCGGGGACGGCTATGCCCCCGACATCAGCATACTGCATCATGCCCACTTCCTGGCTGGGAGGGACACAGGGTAGCAATGCAGGTCCTTGTTCCTGGAAGAGTCACAATGTGTGTTCAGCAAAGAGGGGCACCAAGCTGGAGAGAGCCTACACAAAGAGAAGATGAAAGTGCACACAGCAGAGTCACGAGGAGAAATCCTGGGCAGGGTGTGGGCAGTCTTTGTACTGTTCCTGCAGTTACTCTGCAGATGACAGTCTTTCAAGAAAAAAAATTTTTTTGATTAGTAAAATTACTTTATTTTCCTCTCGTATTTGCTTTATATCTTGCTTTAAAAAGTTACGAAGTTCACAACTTTATACCAAAACGTAAGAAGACTAGGCTATTTGCTTATAAACATTTTCCTTTTTTTTTTTTTGTATGTGATGATATTAAGCTGGTATCAATTTATTTATTTATTTATTTATTTTCATAGACATTTAAATGTGTTAACAAAAGCACAAGCTCTGCCCCACCCAACCAGTGTGTGCAGAGACAGAGTGTTCCCAGTACAAAAGCCCCTTCTATCAAGAAACAGAAATGAAAGGCGCCAGCAGCAGAAACACAGGACGCCCAGTGCCAAGAGCCAGCTGCCTGGGGGAGAGAGCATCGCCTCCCTGCAGGGTGAGGGCGTGTAGGKGTTAGACTCAAGCTGGGACACCCCTGTGGAGTGAGGCTTCAGGGCCACCATTCCACAGGCCTCACTGCCTTTCCTGGCCACTACAATATGGTCACATCTACTGGGCCACGTATGAATGACAAGGTGTGAGAACAACTTGTAAAATATGAAAAAAAGCAGCTGCCACCGATGGATCAAGTGTTGATGAACGGAAACCTTCTGTGCTTACCTCATGGGCTCTTTTGATGATTTTGTCATCCACGTCTGTAACACCCATCACCATGACTATGTTGCACCCAAAAACCTTGGTTAGGATCCTTCGAATTATATCAAATCTAACATATGAACTGAAAGAAAAAAAATGTTGGGCTCTCTTTAGATTGCGCAAAACCATTATTATTATCCTTGAAAAGGTGCATTATAATGTAACATCCTGCTACCTAACTTGAACTGTGTAGCACAAGCCATGGCCAAATGGGGCTGGTATAAGGAACAGCCTTCTGATTGACGGGGGCCTCGGGAAAAGCTGACAGTGGAATTGCATCAATTTCAGGACACAATGTTAGCATTTTTTAGTTTTAGAGCTGTTGAGTGAATTTACGTCTATTTAAATGTACAAAAATTCACTCATAATACAATCTTATAAGGTAGTTATAATACTGAGAGTTTTTGCTACTCTTGTTCATGTTCTAGAATAGTTCTAGTTTCTCACTAACACGAAATGCATAGAAGTAAATAATCATAAACAGGACAAGTGTGATCCTCTTAGGGGTGCATCAGGTTACTCCTAAGAATATGAACCATTCTAGAAATGCAAAAACAGCGGCTTGTTTATATGCCATGCTCAAGTGAGTCAGATTTTAAAACCAAAAGAGTTTAGAAGCATTTTAACAATTCAAGGCTTGTACTCTTTTCTGAACTGAATGGGCAAAAACATGTGAAAACCATGAGGCTATTCTCCCATGAAAGCAACCTTGAAACTCCAGGTCAGCTAATCTCATGCTCATCTCTATCATCCATGCAGCCTCTCTAAATCTGAGCTCACAAAATCATTTTCCTCCAGAAAGAAAATCCTAGCACTTTAATGGTCTCCTCCTAAAGCACACACAAACACAGTTTAGGCCAGAGCTTGACCATAATGATAAAACTACCTCCAAAAACTCCTTGCCGAGATATTTACCCTCTCAGAGGCTCAGTCTGATTATTTATAAACTGGGCAAAATTCCACTAACTCACAGGACTGTTATGCATGCAGGTGCTCGGGCAGCATGAACTCCAAAGAACACAAGCTATCGCTACCATCTTCATCTCCGTGGCCCTCTGGAGGTGGAAAAGACTCCACAGAATTGAAATTATTATTATTATTATTTTGGGGGGTATCAGGGATTGAACTCAGGAGCACTTGACTACTGAGCCACATCCCCAGCCCTATTTTGTATTTTATTTAGAGACAAGGTCTCAATAGGTTGCTTAGTGCCTCACTGTTGCTGAGGCTGGCTTTGAACTTGTGATCCTCCCGAGCCACTGGGATTACAGGCATGAGCCACTGTACCTGGTCAGAATTGAGACTTAAAAGAAACAACTAACATTAGGACCTAAAACAAATGGCAACAAGACTTGGGTGACATACTCCAGAACTCAGGCTGAGCCCCAGAAGTGCCCTCAGGAAAAGGCAGAACTGGCAGGGGCTGCAAGTGGGTTGTATCCATGGTAGCTGCTCCTGTGCATGCACACTCTGCAGTGCCGGACAGCCAAAGTCAGATGCACGGGCATCAAGAGCTAGAGACCTACAAACAAACAGAACAAAGCAAAAACAAACAAAAAGAGAACCAGAGGCCTCCACGGCCTCCTGCGACTCCCCTGACAACCACACGGTGTCAGCCAGGAGTGCCACTCGCAGCCGGCTTCCCAAGCATCCCAAACCCACTGGATGACTGCTAAGGTCCCTCGGACTCCCAGAGTTTTCACTAGAGACACTTCCTCTCCACTCCTTCCCTACAAGACGGAACCTCAACTGCTGGGACCAGAAAGTGCAACACCCTCCCTGTCCGGCTCCAGCCGGCCCCTCCAACCCCCTAGACGAACCAAACTGTGATTTGTTTTCCCCAAGCAGGACTGGCACTCTCTGCCAACCTCTTCTGGATGCCTCTTTTGGTTGAGCTGAGCTCTGACCAGGCTCCAAGTGCCTTGTGAAGCAGGCACTCTCTGGTCCCCGCTCTGTTGGTGCTGAAATAATTATATCATGCTAAGGAAATTAAATGATTAAGCCCACAGCCACCGAAACCGTCACAGGCCTAAGATGTGGGAAGGAAGGTGAAGAGCCTGGAGTGGGCAAGAGGTGGGGACCTCCTGTCAGCCACATTCAGTTCAGTCCGCAGGGACAGCAGCCAGGCCAAGAGAATGTCAGTGGAGCAAATGGGCCTAGCTGTCCTCAGTCCCTCTGAAGGCACCAGGTGTGCAGAGCACATAACAGCCATGATGTCAAGAGGGAAAGTGCCTGGTGAGAGGCAGACCAAGCTACACCCCTGCTCCAACGTTCCGTAGTGTGTGAAGGCCACCATCCTCAATAATGGCTGAGCCCTTAAAACACATCACACAGCAAGTGCAAGTTAAACAGGATTTTATGAGTATTCAGTCCTAAAATTGCTGTAAAGATTTTTAAAAGAATGGGATATTATCATTCCCATTTCAAAGATGATGAAACCAGGATTGAAGCCTGGCCCACCTGTAATCCTAGCAACTCAGGAGGCTGAGGTAGGAGGGCCAGATGGCCAGTTGGAGGCCAGCCTCAGCAACTTAGCCAGACCCTGTCTCAAAATAGAAAAATTAAAAAAGGGCTAGGGATGTAGCTCAATAGTAGAGTGCCTCTGGGTTCAATCTCCTATACCACAAGAAAAATGAAAGAAACGAAAGAAACTAGGATTTGAGCAAGAAAGTGAGTTATCCAATGCCAGGAAGCTAATAAATGTCAGGAGCCAGAAATGACCATCCCCTCCCCCAACACATGCTGGCCTCTTGATCTCACCAAGCCCTGACCCAAACACCTAATTCCAAAATTTTTTACTATGTAGTGGCACCCCACCTCCTCCAAAAAATAAAATCTTAACCAAGCTTCTCCAGAAATCTTCACCACAATTGATTTATTTAAGACTATAAGCAAAAGTTCCATGTAATTAAGCTTCCTATTTTCCTGTTGCTCTATTTTACTTGGCCACTGGCCTGGAAGAGATCAGCACTCCAGGTGCTGCAGGCCCCTTTACTTGTTTTTCACAAACATGTATCCAGTATAGTAGTTTGTAGAAGTGTGTTTGCAAGTGCAAAATGTGATTAAAAAAAAAAAACACAAATCCTTTAGCAAGGCCTCTGGCCTTGAGCTGGGCTTCACATAGATATCTACATTTTTAAGATAAGAGAAGTTACCAATTGGGCTCCATGGTAACAGCTGGCAGGGGAGGAGAGGAAGGGGAGAAGAAGCTCTCCCCTTCTCAGGAGCTGTCCTTGAAGGGTTAACTTGCCCAGAACAGTGAAAAGCTGCTTTTATGTGAACTTCTGCAGGCTGTGAACTTCTGAGCCCCTCGCCTTACATTCTGGGTATAAAGTTCTGCAACTACCTGAACTTGGGGTTCAGGGGATTAATTGATTACAGCAAAAACTGTGGTCTCTGAACCTGGCCGCAGTTAAATAAAACTGTTTCCTGCTGTCTTCAGTGCCTTGCCTCCTCTGCCCCTACAGCAGCTACTCCATACTGCCTCCCTGAATTACTACTCAAACCAAATGAAACTATTACTGTTCTTCCCACGATGTCTGGGATGTAGTAATTTAGTAATTATTCAGTACCCTTAAATTGTCACTTTAGAGATTTTAAAAGGCCATAAAGGTTTATTCTTTCCCAAATAAATGGTCCCTTGACAGGTGAAAACTAAAATCCAGAAAACTCACCAAGCATGGCCAAGGTGTGCGTGATCGTATACAGTTGGTCCACAGCTATACCTGGGAACAAGTTAAGACCCGTCACGTGAAACACCTGCATTCTCAGCTGCAGGACCCCACACGCACGCCCTTCAGGCAACCTGCGCTGCGCGTGCCCAGGTCCCAGGCTGGCAGCGCGCCCACAGCACCAGTCCTCCACGCCCGGACCACCGACCCCGCCCGCCAGCGCACCGCCCTCCGCCCAGCCCGCGCACCAGGAGGTGGCGTCCGCGCGGGCTACGATCAGCGGGTCCTTCCTGCCCGTGAGGCTGTTGTACACCTGCACGCCCGTGTCGCGGCCCTCGGGCTGTAACCAGGCCCGCCCGCGCCCCTCGCACGCCGTCCGGCTCAGCCCCGGGCCCAGCGCGGCTGGGAGCAGCCGAGCCAGCAGGCCGAACGCGCGCGTCCGTAGCATGTCCTCGGCTGGCGAGGGACCGCGACGCGCCAGGCTACGCAGGCACAGCGCGCCGCCGGGAGCCACGCCCACCAGCCCGAGGCCACGCCTGCCCCTGCCGAGGCTCCGCGCCGCCAGCCCGAGGCTCGCCCCGCCTACCGAGGCCTCGCCCACCAGCTCGAAACCGCCCGGAGCCCGCCCAGGCCACACCCCGGGAGAGCCCCGCCCGCCGCCGGAAGAGGAGGTGGCAGCGGCCCCAGCTGGGGGCTGGCCTCGGCGCCGGGGTGTGGGGCCAGAGGCGGGCGGAGAGGCGGGAGGGCTGCAGGGACAGGCGGGCCTGCGGCGCTTTCCCTCCTAGCGCAGGTCGCGCTGCACACCCTTGGGGACGCAGTGCGAGCCCGGGCTCAGAGGCCCCTCCGCGGCGGCCAGCCCGCGGCCGCAGCGAGGGAAGATGGACCTTTGGACCTCGCCGGCCCGCGAAGCACGTCTGCACCTCAACATGCATCGTGTCTGCATCCTAAGAAAATGTGCACCCTACATGCAGAATGTATGTATCCTAACACTGCACCCCAACATTCACACAGCATGTCTGCATCACAGTACAACGTGCAGCCCACACACAGTACAAAAGTGCCTTAGCGCTCTCTTGGGGGTCTCTGGATGAAAGATCAAGACTAGAAGACCTTCCCATTCATCAAGTACACGTAGCAGGAACTGCCTGCTTGGGATTCATTTTAACAGTAAAAGAGCTATCATCCATTCTTTGAGAACAAAAATGTTCTGAGAGTTACTTTCAAATAGTATCGACAAATGTGCCCCTATTGGCAGTTTGCAAAACAATCTAAAAAAAAAAAAAATCCCTTTGCTTTTCAGTTCTCAAAACAGCAGTTTCTTCAGTTCTTTTTTTAGTTTTATGTTCTCTTAAAAGGCAAAGTAGAGACAAACAAATGTGTTCCTAGAGTACTTAAATTTTTTTCTCAAGGTCCTGGAATCCAATTCTGCAATTGTTTCAAGCTAAACTATAGTCCAATGTTTTCGTGCACAAAGTTAAATTGTACCAAATTAGAAGCCCAAATACATCTTGCTAACCATTCATGCTCCATACCTGTTCTAAATTCTCTGGAATACACCACTTCCTCACTGCCAGTGCAATACTTGTCTTGATGTTATTTTGTAATTGTCTCTTGTTTCTTTCTAGAGAAATGTGTATGTTTCTCTCCTAGAGATTGAAAAATTTTTAACTTATTTTTTTTAAACACAGCACTAAATTCAGAAAAGAACTCGTTGAATGTTGCTGAATTATAGTCTGTCACGAAGTCCATTTAGGAGAGAGGAAGATTGAGCAGTAAAATACCAGATAGAGAAAGCTTTGATTCTAATCAGAGAAATGCCAGTTTTAAAAAAAAAAAGGACAAGAGCTGGGCCGGTAATCTGGGAGGTGGAGACAGGAAGATTGCAGGTTTGACTCCAGCCTCAGCAATTTAGAAAGCCCTAAGCAACTTAGTGAGATTCTATCTCAAAATAAAAAGTGAAAGGGGCTGGGAATGGAGCTCAGTGGTAACTCTGGGTTCAATCCCAAATTTCAAAACAAACAAACAAAAGCTGGGATGCATGAGAAATCCAAGAAAAGAGTTACAGTAGAAGTTTTGGGAAAAAAAAAATTTAATAACACTGACATCCAAATCCTACACATGAATCTGGATAGCTGAAAGAAAAAAATTAATCTGGCTAGGTGGCATATTTGGATTGGCCTAAGAAAATCATGACTTTTAAATTAACAATGATATCTTTTGTTTTCAGAAAACTAGTCTTGTAATGTATTCAGCTTTTRACTGGCACCAATTCTACTTTTTCTTACAACATTTGGGAATCACCAAGCAATGATAAATAAAATCTAATATTTAATGATGAAAAAATATTGTTTTTGCACAATGAATACTACAGTGACTTGGAAGATTTACTAGCACATATACCTAAAAAGAGAATCTGTTAATTTGAAGCCATCTTCTGCCTAATCTAGGTCAGAATAAATTAAAATTGATTCCAAAATATTATTAATGCCATTTTTTAGTCTTTAATGACAATAAAATATAGTTCTCAGGATTACATTTTCATTTTGGGGGAATAGTGGGGAGTACCCTGATTTGAGCTCAGGGGCACTCACCACTGAACCCCATCCCAGCCCTGTTTTGTATTTTATTTAAAAATAGGGTCTCATTGAGTTGCTTAGCACCTCGCCTTTGCTGAGGCTGGTTTTGGAAATTCTCTTGCCTCAGCCTCTCAGGCCTCTGGGATTATGGAGATGTGCCACCACACCCAGCTCCATTTTCTTTCAAGGCAAAATCATGAAAATCCAAAGTAGAGGAGATTATGGTGACATATCATTTAGGAACTTTCAAGTGAAGATGGATTAGTTATTGATTTAAAAAAAAAAGATTTGAAGTTGTAGATGGACAGCATGACTTTGTTATTTTTTTTTTTTTTAATGTGGTGCTAAGAATCAAACCCAGTGCCTCACACATGCTAGGCAAGCACTCTGCCACTGAACTACAGCCCCAGCCCAGTATAGATATTTTAACCATCTCAAAACATGAACTGTACATTCATTTCTTCATAGGTTTGAATGCTTTTAAACTAGAAACATAATTTTGTTTATTTATTTATTTATTGAGATGGAGATCAAACCCAGGGCCTGGGATGGAACCAGAGCCTTGCACATTCTAGACAACTGCTCTAGCCTGACATGTAATTTTAGGAAAAAGTTATAATGTGTAGTTTAGCAGTACACCACAAAGCAAAACTGAAACAGTCAGGATTCTTAAAAAATTGAGCACTGTTCCTTAGCGCCATATTTAAAATGCAAGATAAATGGTTATTTTATCTATTGGTATTCTAGGCATGTTCAGAAGACACTTTCTGACTTTTTACCCTAAGGGGCGGATTAATTGTTTTATGGAGGTCAAACTGCTTATTCACTACTGTCTTCCAAGCACATAAAACAGTAGTTGGCACGTGGTGGAACTACTCAAATATTTCCAGTTGAATGAATAAGAAGCCTTTTGGTTTATGCATCTGTGAAGTTCACGAAGAAGAAGAAGAATTATTCAGATAGTATTGTGACTTTTTGAAAAATAAGCTAGTTCTAACTCCAGTTTATTTTTTTTTTTCTTTGTTTTCTGATACTGGGGATTGAATCCAGAGGTGCTTGAGTTACATCCCCAGCCTTTTTTATTTTTTGAGACAGAGTTCTGCTAAATTACTGAGGCTAGCCTCTAAAATTTGCCATCTTACTGCCTGAGCCTCCCCAGCAGCTTGGATTACAGCCCTGCACCACTGAGCCTGGCCAGCTAGATCATTTTTGAATGGGATAAATTCTTGCTAACCTTTATTCTTGAGTCCAGAWTAAAAACTGTTCATTCTCAGGCCAATGACTGCTAGGATTAAAAGAACCTAGACAGGTTCTCTTTTTTGCTATTGTGCTTTTAAGTTACTTACATGTTCTTTGCGAAAAAGGCATATTTAAAATTCAACCTTGCACCCCCTTCTACACTTTATTCACTTCATGTTTCTCTTCCCACACGTCACAGTGTTTTGTGCTAACCAGTGGCCAGTGAATCGTGTGGTCGAAATGAAACTTCATTTCGTCCTTTAGCACCGCAGCAACGCTCCAATGTGAACAATCCAATTCCAAATACAGCTCAATCCAGTCTCCTCTGCTGCCCTAATATCCACGTCACAAAATAACCTACGGGGCCAGGGAATGCGCACCCCAGCGGTAAACACTCTATTTACAAATACTGAATTAGGTTAGTCCGAATTTGTGCTGATTATACAGGAAACTAAAAAATTCCAACAGATATGTTTCACGTAACATTTCAAGTCTTCAAATACCGGAAAGTGTGCCCCTTTAAACTGCAAGTGTCTGTCTGCGGCCGTGCGTCCAGGTTTGCAGCAGGATAAATCCCGGACACCACCGGAACCCTACGCTGCTGACACGGAGACAGGGGAAACCCGGGAGGCGCGGCTGGGGCTGGGTCTCCGCTCGGCACTCGGCCACCGGCCGCCCGACGCCGGACCTTTCTGCCCAGCGCCGCTCCCAGTCAGCCAGAGCAGAAGCCAAGCGGAGGGGCCGGGACCCGACCGCACGCAACTCCAGTTGCAGCGATCGAAAGCCAGCCCGAGGGAACCACAGCGCAGCGCGGACAAAGGCGGGAGCGCCGCCGGGGCGTGGCCACGACCGGGAGGCGTGGCTTGTCCCGGAAAGGGCGGGGCGGACCATCCGGTCGTCTAGGCAACGGAGGGCTCAGAGCCGGGCTTTTCAGAAAGTCTTAAATCCTGGAGCCATGGTGGAAGGGAGGTTAAAGAGGGTTTGGGGCGTCAAAGGACACTAAAGTGCCGCCAGCGCCCCAGGTGTTGGCGGTCCTTCCGAAAGGTGGGGAGTGGAGAGCGCTCGGAGGGCTCCTAACGGGCCAGGAATCAGGGAAGCATCTTTTCCGCCGGCCCGCCCTCCGCAGAGGCTCGGTCCCAGGGAGCAGCTTTGCTCTCGGGCCCCTTTGTCTCCAAGCCGTTCCAAACCGAGCTCCAGGAGGTGACAAAGGGAAGGCAGTGGTGAACAGCGCAGCCGCGGGAGCCGCCAGGGCTGCTGGGAGTGGTGGTCCTGCCGCGCTACAGTACTCGGCCCCCCTCCCGCGCGGGCCTTGGCCGCTGCCGATGCTAGTGCGCTTGCGCCAGCACTTCCGCCCCTCCAGTGCCCACCCGCTCTGCCGGCCTCCAGACTTTAGTAGTAGGAGCCCAGGAGGAGCCCGAATTTGTCACGCCCCCTCTCCGTCTTGATTGGCCGCAGAGGTAAGGTCTGCAAGTGGATTGGCTCTCCGGGTTGCCAGTTCTTTTCCGGCTCGTACTTATATTGCGCGGCGGGGCGGGGACGAGTAGAGTAAGGCCGGGAGAGGTAATGGTGGTTTGCCACTGTCGGAGCCTCTCAGGCGGCCGTCCCGCGGCCAGTCAGGTCCCGGGAAGGTCTTCAGCGGAGCAGGCCACCACCCCGCGTCTCCCGGCCGGCGTGCAACGCCTCCCAACAGCCTCGCCATCAAGTGGCAAACTCCTAGTAAAGTTTGCGCCTCGCCCGTCGCCCCAGCCCGGCGGCCCTGTCGCTGTCCCTTCCGCGACCCTCGCCCCAGCGAAAGTGACGGGAAAGGCCACGCCCCCTCGCAGGCCGGCATCGCGGCCCTCCGCCCCCCGGCCCGGGACGGTGAGGGGCGTGAATGCGGCGGGGGCGGGGCCGCCGCCGGGAGCGGGCGGGGGGGTGGGGCGCATGCGCCGTGTGCGCGGGGCTGAATGTTTCCCAAGTGTTTGAAACTGGTATTTGGGTTTTCCACGTTGGACAAGTGCGGCGCGGCGGGCTGCCGAGCGCGCCCTTCCCGCTGCCCGCCCCGCTCGGCTCCCCTCCCCGCCCGGCGGCGGTGGGCGGCGGCGGCCGCGGCGCTCGGCCCTCTCCCGGGTGTGTGCGCGCTCGTACGCGCGGCCCCCCGCGCCCGCCTGCCGCTTGGGAGGGGGCCTGCGCGGCCGGTGGGGCGTGAGCCCGGGAGCCTCCGCCACCGCGGCCCGCGCCCGCAGGCGCCGGGGTCCCCGCGGCCCCGGCAGATGTAGCCGCTGGCCGGGCCGGGCCGGAGCGGCGGGGGGGGCGCGGGAGAGGGAGAGCTTTGCATTTTGCAGTGCTGTTTTGAGGGGGGCGGGGGGTTGGAGGAAGCGGAAAGCCGCGCTGAGTCGCCGGGGACCTCCCGGGGTGAACCATGTTGAGTCCTGCTAACGGGGAGCAGATCCACCTGGTGAACTATGTGGAGGATTACCTGGACTCTATCGAGTCTCTGCCTTTCGACCTGCAGAGGAACGTCTCGCTGATGCGGGAGATCGACGCGAAATACCAAGGTACGGCGGTGATGGATGGGCGGGGGCGGCCGCGTCCATCCCCGCGGTCCGGGCCGCCGCGGCCGGCTGGTCCTGCTGGACCCGGAGGGAGCGGCGGCCCCTGCGGCGGCCTCGTCGGGACAGGAACAAAAGGTCTGGGGCGCCTTTGATCCGCCAAGGTCCTTGTGTGCCGAGCCGGGACCCGGGGGGGGAAGGAGCGCGAGCGGCGCGCTGCAAGGCTGCGCGACCGAAGCGCTCTTTGTAGTGAAGTGATGAGGCGGGTGCTGCGGGGGAGGGGGCGCGGGGCTCCGCCGCGTCCTCGGGGAGGGGGCTCGGGCGGCGGCGCGAGCGAAGGGGTGTGCGAGCGCTTCGGCTGCGGGGAGCGGGCTTAGCGGCTGCAGGGACGGCTGCGGGCCGCGGTGCCCGCGGACCCTAGCGCCGCCCGGGCCCCTCGGCGCCGTACCCCACCCGGTCCTGCATCCGAGTGTTACATAAAGTACGGGGCAGGGCTCGATCGGGGTCGCGGCTGCCCCCGCCCAGCCCCCTCCGGCCCTTGGCGCTGGACGTGGAGCGGGGCCGACCGGGAGGGGCGACACCGCCGGTGTAGTTTGCGGAGGATGAGGGCTTTTCTCGGGTGTGCAGTAGGAAGGGAAGGGAAGGGGAGGAGCGGAGGCGGGGAAGGCGCCCATCTGTGCTGCGCTCGGGGGGCGCTGGCCGACTTCTGGTTGGAGAGGAAGGTGGCAGGTGAGGGGACCTGTGGGTCCTTTCCTGCAGACCCAGCCGCCCGGAGTGGCAGAGAGGTGGAGGCTTAGTGTCCGCCGGGAATTGTTCGCTGTTAGGGAAACTTTACCGCGGGTCAGTCGAGGCACTGGGGGTTGTGTTTTGAACGTGGATCGTCTCCGCGAGTTTACTAATGTTTACAGGGCTGCGCAGCAGGRAAACGGAAGCGTTGGAGGGGGTGAAATGGAAGGCAAGCTGGCTGGCGAAACGCACTAGAGAACCCTGCCCGGAAAGCGCCCCTGCGCGCTCTGCTCCGGACGTAGCTTCGCAGCGACTTTTATAGGAAGTTAATTAGCATATTGCGGAACGTTCCGCCTTAGCACCCTAGTGATTGGCCTTGGCGTCTCCGTGGAATGTCCTTATGAATCTGTTGCGTAGCAATTGGTGACCAGGCCGGATGAGGGCGGGCCTTGCGTAATGACTGGCATGGATCTGTTTCCGCTGTCTTTTTTCCTCTTTCTGAGAGGGGCGGGGCTGGAGGGCGGAGGTCGAGTTGATTTGAATGTCTTCGGGTCGCCCTGCCTCCCGCCTCGAATTGGGTCCTGGCACCGAGGGGGTGGGCTGCACTGCGCTTTGATTGGAGCGATCCTGGCCTCCGCTCTCCGGCCCCTCGATCCCCATAGGTGGTGGCAATCGGGGCGGGGCGCGCTTTCCTCTTCCCATTGGCGGGAGTCGGTCCGCCTCGACCCCTTTCCCTGGCTCCGCTGACGACTGAGCCCAGCTACTTCCGGACTCGGTGCAATGGCTGCCGCCGGCTCCTTGGCGCTGGATCTGGCCGTCTTGCCCAGTCCCTGTGGCTCGCGCTGCCTCTGCTGAGCCGAGGGTGCGGCGCGCTTGACCCAGAATCGCGAGTGAGCGAGGGGTGTGTTCCTGGGGATCCGGCTTTGAGGATGGTGCCCGAGACACGACGAGCCTGCCCGACCCAGGGGTCTCAGGAACCTGAAGCGAGAGGCAGCGACGGCGGGTTTGGGGTCTTAGGGCCGCGAGTTCTGGGATTCTGTCTGTGTCACCCAGGAAAGCTGTTGTCTACACCTGATGGTAGAGCTTACCGCGCCGCCTTCCGCATAATGTGCGCGCCCTACACTGCCTAGCGCCACCCTGCCCTCCTGCATCTGTCTCTGCAGCGAGCCGGCCGTGGGTGTTGAGGTGTCGCCAGAGCCCCAGGACACTAAACCAAGCCTTTCCTTTAAAACTTGTTGCAAGTCTAACCTCCTTGACAGCCTGTGCTTGGTAAGCATCAGATGTAGATAAACCCATAGGGAGGGGTTAGTTATCATGGTATTAGGTGGTTTGAATTTTTTTCCAAGTTTGAAAATGCTAAGGGAAGTCCATGCAACTTTTTATAAAATTTGCAGTTTTCATCATTGGACAGACCAAATTAAACTTGCTGCAATCTCAAGTAAGATTTAAGGTTTTTATAGTGCTGGTACTTTGATGTGGGATATTTTTAGAAGATAGGGTCAGCAGCAGTCTGAAGCTGAGCTTTTGAGGTAGAAGAAGCAGTTTGCCCTGGCAGAATACCTCCTATTTAGCAGTGGTGTTAATAACATTGTTTATTGCTCTTTGTGACTTTGTTGATAAAGTACTTTGCTTAGAACATCTAAGAAATGCATGCCATTGTTTAGACAGCAGAATATTAAAAATAAATGGCATAAGCTCATTTTAATAGCTGATAAAATAAGTTGGATCAGTTGATTTGTTGAGTTAATTAAGGCTGTGAGGCTAGTTATTCCACCTTTTTGGTAGTAAGGTCTGTATGGTTCCTCTGGGAAATATCTTCAGAGTTTGGAATATAATCTTAACCATTYATTGTTCTTCTTGTTGGCTTAAGCTCATGTGTTTACTCTGGTGACAGGTTTGTCTTTATTTTTTTTCTCCCTCTTGGTACTGGAATCAAACCAAGGGGTATTCCATCATGGAATTACATCCCCAGCCCTTTTTATTTTGTAATGTGAGACAAGGTCTCACTAAATTGCCTATGTTGGACTTGAACTTACTATCCTCCTGCCTCAGTGTCTCTGAGTTACTGGGATTACAGGTGTGTGCCACCACTCCCAGCCAGGTTTATACCTTACAGYTAAAGAGATCCGAAAGCTCAGTGGGTGGTAATATTCCAGACATTCCCTCCAACTCCCTCCCCTTCTCATCCACTTCCTAATTGAAGAGTGTAGGGTAGTTTCTTTGTTTTAAAAGACCATAAGAAGATTTCAGGATTGAAGTGTATACTATTTTTTTAAAGTAACTGGGAATTTCTAGGTATTTTAATAGGTTTTTTGTAAGAATATATAGTTTTGCTTTAATTGGATTATTTAATAGCTTTTATTTCTTTAATTACATTTGTTAAAATCACRTGCATTGTCTTCAGATTGTTTTTGATGTTTTTGAGTCTATTGACTTTTGTAGCTCTAAAAATGTAATTGCTATAAAAAATGAAATCTGCTATTTTTGTTTGAAAGCAACACTAAATTGTCAGTGTTATTGTGACCAAACCATTGTTATTTTCAGTAGTGCCCAATAACACCCTGGAAAGGCCGTAAAGTAACAGGTGACTGAGGGCCTTGGTCATTAAGTGGTCTGATCCTGGGCCTTTTAACCCCAGGCATAACCATTGTCAAAATCTGTGTACGTTCTCTCACAGGTCTCACAGGGTATTTTAGACGTTGATACATTAGAATAAAAGCTGTTATTAGAGAAAATTTTGAATACAAATGGTGGAATTATAAGATCTAATTATCATTTTTTTTTAAGAGAGAGAGAGAATTTTTTTTTAATATTTACTTTTTAGTTTTCGGCGGACACAACATCTTTGTATGTGGTGCTGAGGATCGAACCGGGCCGCAGGCATGCCAGGCGAGCGCGCTACGGCTTGAGCCACATCCCCAGCCCCTCTAATTGACAATTTAATAGGAAAAAAAAATTTAGCCCCAACCACTTTTACCTAAATTGGAACTTTTCACTGATGCTTCTGAACTGTGTCCAGTCCCTTGGGGTATTTTRAGAGAGAAATAAGAAGGTATTCGGCTAAACAGGAACTATGTTGATGTTGCACTTTGTTCAACAGTGAGAAAGTCTCTGGAAAGGCCTACAGGTGGTAAGATTTGTATATGAAAAGTTTGCCTTGGTCTTATCTATCCTTAGCAGTTACTTTTTTTATAGACTAAAGAGTTAAATAAAAGGCTTATTTAATCGAGTGGTTTTCTTCACTAGTATTTATATTTATAGCTTGGATGTGTAATTTATATTATTTTGTTTATAGAAATCCTGAAGGAATTGGACGAATATTACGAGAAATTTAAACGAGAGACAGATGGTGCCCAGAAACGCCGAGTGTTACACTGCATCCAGAGAGCCCTGATTCGGAGCCAGGAACTGGGCGATGAGAAGATTCAGATTGTGAGTCAGATGGTGGAGCTGGTGGAGAACCGGACCAGACAAGTGGATAGTCATGTGGAACTCTTTGAAACACATCAGGAAATCAATGACACCACTGGCAACAGTGGCAAAGCTGGCCAAGATAAGTCAAAGAATGAGACAATCACGCAGGCAGAAAAGCCGAATAACAAACGTTCCCGGAGGCAGCGCAACAATGAGAATCGAGAAAATGCATCTAATAATCATGACCATGATGACATCACCTCAGGAACACCCAAGGAGAAGAAAGCAAAGACCTCGAAGAAGAAAAAACGCTCTAAGGCCAAAGCAGAGAGGGAAGCATCCCCTGCAGACCTTCCCATCGACCCAAATGAGCCCACGTACTGTCTGTGCAATCAGGTCTCCTATGGAGAAATGATAGGTTGCGACAATGACGAGTGCCCCATCGAATGGTTCCACTTCTCATGCGTGGGACTCAATCATAAACCAAAGGGCAAGTGGTACTGTCCCAAGTGTCGGGGGGAAAATGAGAAAACAATGGACAAAGCATTGGAGAAGTCCAAAAAAGAGAGAGCCTATAACAGGTAGTTTGTGGACATTCACTAGTAGTGGGGAAAACAGAACCAGCTAGTGTATTTATTACATTGCCACCTGTGCTGAGGTGTGAGGATTGTCAAATGTGTTTTTTCAAGGAATGTTGGAGAAGGCACCGTTTCCTTCACAGGGATGGCAGTGACTCTCTCCACCTTTTGTTCTCACTGGTATATGTGTGTAAGAAGACAGTGGTCTATGGATCAGCATTTTAGGAACTACAAATATAGGTTTCAATTAAACACTTACGTGAGTCTCAGACTGATTTTTTTTTTTTCTTCTGTGTGTGGGGGGATGACTTGGAAGCAACCTAATACATTGTGATAAGAAAAGATTTACCTATTTTATTTTAATAAAAAATAATGTTACACATTATGAACATTTTTTTAATTAGCTGGGTTGCTAAAGTACAGCCTACAGCACATTTGTTTCTTGTACCATAATGTACATCCATATAACAATTCAATAACAAAGGTTCAAAGTTGGAAGATTATTTTTAAGAAGGTACATGGTCAGTGGAAAAGTGCCCAGTAAGCCCAAGACCTTGGGTTTATCCCCAGCTCTGCAAAAACAGGTAAAGGGTTAAATTTTACATGGCAAATATTTTATATACTGGCCTGTTTCCACAATGGCCATTTTTAAATGATTGGGTTCATTTTTATTATGAACCCAAAAGAAGTGGTCTAGTGATAGAATTTAAATCACGCTTTTGCTATCATAGATCATACTGTGGTCATCTTTAACTTATGTCAAGTGTATAAATGTACATTTCCCAGAGATCTTGCTCTCGCTGTATTATAATTGGAAGCACAGCCTGATGTTGTTGTGAAACCAAGGTATGCTTCCTGTTGTGTGTGTGAGTTGTACAGGTGTGATGTCAAGAATAAATGAAACTTGGCCAGTTTGTTTCTCTAGCAGTATATTTAATTTTAGCCTAAGTACTTTTTAAATTTTGTCTTAAAAATTTATACACCAGCAGTTTAGACAAAGCCTTAAGCAAATTGTGTATTAACTGTTCTCAGTATTGAAGTAGAAGTTACCTAATTGCCAGCAGATAAATTCATGTCAAAGAAGAATATATATTTAGACAGAGGTCAGGAAATTGCACCCATCAAATCCAGCCCACCACCTGTTTTTATATGACCTGTGAACTACAAATGGTCTTTATGTTTTTAAATGGTTAAAAAAGATATTTCATGAATACATGAAAATTATATGAAATTTGAATTTTAGTATCTATAAATAAAGTTTCACTGGAACACGGCCATGCTCATTTCCTGATGTATTGTCTGTGGCTGCTTTTGTAAAATGGTAGTTGAGTGGTGGTAATCAAGACTGCACGGGCAGAAAAGCTGAAGTTAACTTATTTTCCGGCCTTTTGCAGAACATTTGCTGACCGCTGACTTAGACTAGCCTCTGGTGTTTTGATCTGTCCTTTCACGACCCCCTGGGTGATAATCATTCCTTAGTGATAATGTGGTTCTCTTTAGCTTGGAACATGGGAATTCAGTTCTTTCTGCAGCCTGCTGTACAGTGTCCATGGAGCCACCACATAGGTGAACTGAGCATCATCTCTGTGAAGTTGGTGACAGCTGTGTCTACATTATGTAAAACAGTAAGTGTTTTTCTGATGGTTTACTTTTTTTGGTGGTACTGGGTATTAAACTCATGAGTGCTATATCACTGAGCTATATCTCCAGCCCTTTGTTTCATTATTTTGAGACAGGGTTTCGCCAAGTTGCCCAGGATGGCCTCAAACTTGCCATCCTCTTGCGTTAGCCTCCTGAGTTGCTACGACTGCATGTATGCATATGCTGCTGGGCCTGACTCTAACCATAAACTTCTGATAAACAGTTATTGAGAACTTTACTCATGCCAGACTTCTAGTCAAGGAATTTCCACTATGGAGGGTTAATAGTGAAGTAAGAATTATAGTTGATCATATGTTAAAATTTCAACTTTTTGCATGTTAATAGTTAACAGCCCAAATACTTCGCTGTTAACTTTCTAGTCATTTTAGAATCTTGGGTGTTTAAATTTGAGATTTATCTAGACAAATAATGAACAACAAGAGTTTACTATATGAAAATAAGTTAGATAATTAAAATAGTTAATGAAAATCAAGGCAATAAAAATAAAGAATCTTTGCTTGTGTAAAATTCTATGATAGTTTTTCACTTCCGTTTGGAGCCAATAATGAAAATTAAATTATAGGARTGAAGATTCAGTGGAAAGCAGTTGCTGATGTTGGAACTCATTATATTTTTTCAGTTTTGGTAATGCGGAGAGATGGCACTTGGGCCACACCTTGCTGTATAGGTATCTCTTTGGTCTTTTGGGTGTTTGCTCTGGAAAAATGGCTTATGTGTTGGTCTACAATTTTTTTACTTTTAAAATACTTTCTTCACACAGGTTGTTTCTGAAAAATGAGTGTGAGTCATTCAGTTTTGGAAAAGTTTCCCTAGCTTTAATGAGGTTTCTAATAAGGACACAGGCATTTTTCCTTAAAAAAAAAAAAAAAAAAAAAAAAAAGTACATTATGGAGTGAAATTTTGTTGGAATTGGCAGTCTTAAATTATATGTTGATTCCAGTTGGACGGTAGAGTACTCGAGTACAGGTAAGTACTTGGAACAGTCAAGATTTAGGGTTGAGACCATATTTATATGCAGTGGATGGTTCCTCGAAACCCCAGTGGGTACCAAGGAGGGTCTGAGTTCCTTTAGACAGTGGCTTCTATGTAAATATTCAGTATTTATTTGTTGCATAAAAACCAAGTTAGCAGTTCAAATAAAAGGTCTAAAATGTTCTCATTGTGGTGCAATACATTTATATTTTAGACTGATAAAGTGAACCTGATAGTTCAGTTAAGTGAGAGGGGGAGGGGGCTGGGGTTGGGGCTCTTCCAGGGGCTGAGAAGAGATGCTGCCTCCTGACAGACAGTGGCCTTCCATAGGGACATACCTTCTGGGGACTTGGACCTTTGCCAGCGGCCCTTTCCAGTGTGATTAGAGCTATGTGAGTTGTCTAGGTACCAGAGACCTTCAGTGTTTGCCAGCACTCAGGTAGCAAAGCATTTATCAAAGTAAAAGACCATTGCTGTGTTCTGTTTTCAGAGGAGATACTTGGTTGAAGTATCCCTGTGTTGCTTATGTTCACTTCTTGTTCCAGACAGAATGATTAAAATTTGTCTCTGCAAGTTTAAATGCCACACTGGGTCATCTGCTATATAGTAACCTGTGACTCTCTGGAATTGCCAGCATGTGCGGAGGGTTTAATGGATCTTGTCTGAGTCCCTCTTTTAGCTTGTCCATTCCTCTTTAAATCTTGGAATTCAAGAGATTTTAGGCAGATTGGGAATTGCTTCTGGATTTTTTTCATCTGGAAAAATTGCTCACTTGTACCTCCTTTTCTTGAGGTACCATGTTTGCCTGTCTCTGTCGTTCTGAATTTGTCATGTTGCTAAATCAAAATGGCCTCCTGAGGTTTTCCACTAGGGGCCTTGCTTCAGAGTATTTAACCAGTGTTTAGCTCATAAACACACTAGTGTGCTGAGCCCTCACAGACATGAGGGCAGACACAGCTGGAACGGAGACCCATTGGGTCACTTCCTTCCCTCACCTCTGACACTCCCTAGTGCTTGATTTTGTTCAGAAAGATGGGGTTGGTGTCTTCAGTTTAAAATCCAGTTCACAAAAAAGTCACTGCAGATTGAGTAACAGGTTAGATCTTCATCTACAGTGTTCGGTGCTTGTGGAAGTAGGACATCTGTCAACAAGCAAGTGCTTGCCAAGTGCACTAGCTTTAAAGGCAGCATTCCTCATGGGTGCTGATAGCCCCACTTGTCACTTCAGGCTAGACGTTGTGCTGGGTACTTGTCCCTCTGTTCCTTCATATTTTGTGGTGCTAAGGTTCAAACCCAGAGCTTGTGTGTGAGGCAAGTCGCCATCACTGAGCTACACCCCCAGCCTGTGTATACATTTTTTTGTGTTGTTGTTGTTTTGGTACCAGAGATTGAACTCAGAGGCACTTGACCACTGAGCACATCCCCAGCCCTATTTTGTATTTTATTTAGAGACAGGGTCTCACTGAGTTGCTTAGTGCCTCAGCCTCCCCCGCTGCTGGGATTACAGGTGTGCACCACCACTCTTGGCTCCTGTATACTTTATGTTAATTTCGGGGGAGGTATCAGGATTTCACCAAGTTGCCCAGGCTGGCCTTGAACCTGCTGTCCTTCTGCCTTAGCTTCCCTAGTAACTGGGACTACAGGCAGGAGTTCCTGTGCTTGGCTTTTTTTGTTCCTGTTTATATGTTAAATTTATACAGTAACCTGCCACAAAGATGCTGCTGTTCCTGGTGAGCACGTTGAGTCTCTCATGCTGAAACTGATTGGCACAGGCTGCATATGCCCTGTGTCTGCCAGGAATACCCACTAGTGTACAGGATCTGCTCACTCACATTAACTGATCTTTTTTTTTTTTTAAATGAACAGGAAAACAGTGCCTATCTCATGAGGCTGTTGGGAGATTATGTGAGTTACTGTAAGGCACAGTATTCTTTTTTTTTTTTAATATTTATTTTTTATTTTTTTTTTATTTATTTTTTTTTAATATTTTATTTTTTAGTTATCGGCAGACACAACATCTTTGTTGGTATGTGGTGCTGAGGATCGAACCCGGGCCGCACGCATGCCAGGCGAGCGCGCTACCGCTGAGCCACATCTCCAGCCCCTAATATTTATTTTTTAGTTTTTGGCGGACACAACATCTTTGTTGGTATGTGGTGCTGAGGATCGAACCCGGGCCGCACGCATGCCAGGCGAGCGCGCTACCGCTGAGCCACATCTCCAGCCCACATTAACTGATCTTGTAAGCTGTGTGGAGCTGATCAAGTGTCTCACAATGACCACCAGCTCTGCCCTTCTCCCAGCCTTATGGTGTAGAGAATTTCATTAGCTTGTGACTGAGAAAATTGAAGACCAGAGAAGAAATGTGAATGGTCTCAGGAGTAGGGCTGCAGTAGGCCCCAGGACGGTGGGAGCTCAAGGTCTGCATTGCCTGGTGCTCTTGCCTGAATAAAAGGATCTCTGGGAACACAAATGCCTGTACTACCAGCCTGTCCTTAAGCATGGGTTTTTCTTTTTTTTTTTTTTTTTTTAAGAGAGAGTGAGAGAATTTTTAATATTTATTTTTCAGTTTTTGGCGGACACAACATCTTTGTTGGTATGTGGTGCTGAGGATCGAACCCGGGCCGCACGCATG